GACGTTTTATCAACTTTTTTCATATCGGTTTGTCGTGGTAACCGACGACAGACCGATATGAAAAAAGTTGATAAAACGTCAGAATAATTCGGACTTATATGACCCCTGTGACTTTGATTACACACGTACAGTTTTAGAACTTGTCAAATATCATGACTCTAGACCCACTTTAAAAGAAGAAGTCTGTTTAAGTGTTTTAACGAATTTGGCCCCTGTGATATATTTTGGTGTATGATTCAAGGTATTTTTTCCCCCTACAAACTTTGTATTGGCCAAACCATGGATCTCTCCGTGATACTGACAAGTTTGGGTCCGCTTGACCTTGAAAATATAACACTTCATGTCTGTCAGTTACAAATATTACGACTCTAGGCCTTCTGCATGAACAAATGTGATCGTTGAGTATTTAAAAGGTGCACATATTGTACACGTGTTGTAGTGTCCTCAAAGTCCCCATTTATACACAGATTTGGTCTCCCTTCGAAAAGTAAGTAGACCATGCACTAATGGTGTTATAAAACAAGTACCAAAACAATCTGTCTGCTGGTTTGTTAGCAGAAGACTTGTTATATGCCAAAACATTTACTCCCTTTTGCCCCTTATCGACTCTTGAAAAGACCAGTCCCTTTCCCCTCTGATTCCCTATCATCTAGGAGGGAATGCTCCTGCAAATCTGTTCGATGTTATTATGAAGAAGTCGTTCATGGCAACGGATCAAAATAGCTTGCTTGGCCGCCGTTCGAGGCAGGTGAGATTATATCTAGGGGAAAACATTATTTGGAGGCTTTACAGTGTTAGTAGAAATACAATACACAAACGACATTATTGTGTAGGTATTCTCTGATCATTATTAGTACGACTTGTGCCAAATCACCTCAGACAAAACAACGACAATGGGTACACCATCATTTGGCCGTTCTCCAACAGACCGCGCCAGACATACCGCCATTAACCTTGTACCTTATCGACCGTTTAATGGTTGCTTAATCTATTTTGGTCCGCAGGACAATCTTCTCATATTTTATTTTTTGTGTGTGGATTTTTGTATGAGTGAAAATACAGGCCTATACGATTTACACTTCACAAGAAATTAGTTAACACAACACTTACATCTTCATTCCTCTTACATTTCAACAGTTTCCGGTTGGAAATGCGCATTTATGAATAGACAACTTACATAAGTATATCATCTATACAGCTACAGGGTTGAAGGAGAGGTCAATGAGAGAGATTTGGCAGCTTCTGATCTGTGCCAGAATGTGCAAAGTGGGTTAAACAGACTATTAGTTTTCTCTAGTTTTGTTTTGGTACGCAACCACCAAACAGACTTAAAGTTAAGATATCGAAACAACGCTTTCGTTTGATAAATCTAGTAGAAATTGAAAAGTTTTTGAAATTAGTGCACGGAGTCTTTTCATTTGATATCATCCCCGAAATCAGATCTTTTCAACGCGCAATTGCACAAAACAACAACAACCCGAAGAGAAAACCAAATTGTGTACAAAACTGTAATGCAAGCTCGAAATCGATAATATTAGGGCAAATCATGTACAAAGGGAATCTTTACATGGATACCCTTGAAAGAGTACAATAAACATAAGACCAGGTGATCCGGAAGGGTTAACGTGTTAACGGCATATTTTTACGAGTTGGTAAGAACGGAATGCGGGGTTGCTTTTCAGTAGTTTCCAATAAGCCCCGTGAAATATATGTCAAATGTTTTTTTCCCGTCTTATCTGCTTATTCTGAAGTACTATGTGCTTATACTAAGTAAGTGAATGAATGGTTTCAGCAATTATATGCGGGGGTGGCGAGGTTCTGGCACGCGCTCTCTTTACTTTGATAACCGAGTCTGACAACCAATAAAGTCCTGCATTCTCTTGCGCTGATTGATCTATACAGTATGTGTACTTACTTCATACTGTTTACTGTTACACAAACGACAGTATTGTGTAGGTATTCTCTGATCATTATTAGTACGACTTGTGCCAAATCACCTCAAACAGTATAACTGGAATCGCATGGACTGAGGCGGTATTACAGGGTCGTCTGTGACATCGACAATACCTCTGTAGCTATCTCGGCTTGCTATTATTAGTCTAGCATGTTAAATGGAAATAGCACACACTCATCATGACAGCAAAACCTCAGTCATCGGTGATTTATTGATAAAAAAAACATCATACTGAAAACAACGGTAGTCCTGATCACCGTATACTTGTAGTATTTAAAGTTGAGATCATATGTCATGACATTAAGCTATGGTCAATGTAATTAGTGGTGTTATCAGCCATTGCAATCAGTGGTGACATCAGACATTGTAATCAGTGGTGACATCAGCCATTGTAATCAGTGGTGACATCAGACATTATTATCAGTGGTGACATCAGACATTGTAATCAGTGGTGACATCAGACATTGTAATCAGTGGTGACATCAGCCATCGTAATTTGTCAAACATAGTATGAAATGTGTACATTTGACCAAGGTCAAGGTAGACTTTGTAATTAAGGGTTGACATTTGACCAAGGTCAAGGTAGACATTGTAATTAAGGATTGACATTTGATCAGGGTGAGGGTAGACATTGTAATAAGAGTTGACATTTAACCAATGGAAGGGAGACTTTGTAATGAGAATGGACATTTGACCAAGGTCAAAGTAGATATTGTTATTAGGGGTTAACATTTGACCAAGATAAAGGTAGACATTGCAATGAGGGTTGACATTTGACCAAGTCCAAGGTGGACATTGTAATTAGGGTTGATATTTGACCGAGGCCAATGTAGACATTGTAATAAGGGTTGACATTTAATCGAGGCGAAGGTAGACATTGTAACAAAGGGTTGGCATTTGACCAAGGACAAGGTAGACATTGTAGTGGGTTGACACTTGACCAAGGTCAAGGTAGACTTTGTAATAAAGGGTTGACAGTTGATCAAGGTGAAGGTAGACATTGTAATTAGGGTTGACATTTGACCAAGGTCAATGTAGACATTGTAACAAATGGTTGACATTTGACCAAGGTCAAGGTAGACACTGTTATAAGGGTTGAAATTTTACCAAGGTCAATGTAGACATTGTAATTAAGGAATGACATTTGATCAAGGTCAAGGTAGCCATTGTAATTAGGGTTGACATTTGACCAAGGTCAAAGTAGATATTGCTAATAAGGGTTGACATTTGACCAAGGTAAAAGTAGATATTGTTATTAAGGGTTGACATTAGACCAAGATCAAGGTAGACATTGTAATGAGGATTGACATTTGACCAAGGTAAGTAGACATTTTAATGAGGGTGGACATTTGACCAAGGTAAGTAGACATTGTACTGAGGGTAGACATTTGACCAAGGTAAGTAGACATTGTAATGAGGATAGTCATTTGACCAAGTTCAAGGTAGACATTGTAATGAGGGTTGACATTTGACCAAGTCCAAGGTGGACATTGTAATTAGGGTTGACATTTGACCAAGGTCAAGGTAGACATTGAAATGAGTGTTGACATTTGACCAAGGTCAAGGTAGACATTGTAACAAAGGGTTGACAATTGACCAAGGTAAGTAGACATTGTAATGAGGGTGGACATTTTACCAAGGTAAGTTGACATTGTCCTGAGGGTTGACATTTGACCAAGGTAAGTAGATATTGTAATGAGGTTTGACATTTGACCAAGGTCAAGAACATTGTAATGAGGGTTGACATTTGATTATGGTTAAGGTAGACATTGTAATGAGGATTGTCATTTGACAAAGGTCGAGTAGACTTTGTAATTAAGGGTTGACATTTGACCAAGGTAAGTAGACATTGTAATGAGGGTTGACATTTGACCAAGGTCGAGGTAGATTTTGTAATTAAGGGTTGGCATTTGACCAAGTTCAAGGTAGACATTGTATAATGAGTGTTGATATTTGACCACGGTAAGTACATTGTAATGAGGGTTGACATTTGAGCAAGGTCAAGGTAGACTTTGTAATTAAGGGTTGACATTTGATCAAGGTCAAGGGAGACTTTGTAATTAAGGGTTGACAATTGACCAAGGTCAAGGTAGACTTTGTAATAAGGGTTGATATTTGATCAAGGTCAAGGGAGACTTTGTAATTAAGGGTTGACATTACAGCAAGGTCAAGGTAGACTTTGTAATTAAGGGTTGACAATTGACCAAGGTCAAGGTAGCCATTGTATTTAGGGTTGACATTTGACCAAGGCCAATGTAGACATTGTAATTAGTGTTGACATTTGATCAAGGTCAAGGTAGACATGGTAACAAAGGGTTGACATTTGACCAATGACAAAGTAGACATTGTAATGAGGGTTGACATTTGACCAAGGTCAAGGTAGACATTGTAATTAGGGTTGACATTTGACAAAGGTCAATGTAGACATTGTAACAAATGGTTGACATTTGAGCAAGGTCAAGGTAGACATTGTAATTAAGGATTTACATTTGATCAAGGTGAAGGTAGACATTGTAATTAAAGGTTGACATTTGACCAAGGTCAAGGTAGACACTGTAATGAGGGTTGACATTTGACCAAGGTCAAGGTAGACATTGTAAGTAAGGATTTACATTTGATCAAGGTGAAGGTAGACATTGTAATTAAAGGTTGACATTTGACCAAGGTCAATGTAGACATTGTAATGAGGATTGTCATTTGACCAAGATCAATGTTGACATTGTAATGAGGGTTGACAATTGACCTTGGTCAAGGTAGACATTGCAATGAGTGTTGATATTATCTAAAGGTCAAGGTAAACATAATTAGAGATGCAATTAGATCAAGGTCAGATTAGACATTGTAATTAGGAGTGACATTAAACCCAAGTCAAGGTAGAAATTGGATAAGGGTGACATTATCTCAATACCAAGGTAGACACTGTTATAAGGGGTGACATTTTACCAAGGTCAAGGATGACTTAATAAACAGTCGATAGACCACACCCATATACATAAGCAGGAACATTTTCTAGTGTCAATGTAAGAAATAAGACTTCCAACAAATATTTCACATTTACATTTTTTTATTTATCAATAAAATAACACATGTGATCCAGCACATCATGTCACATGACTTAATAGAGCATTGTAAATCATGTCACATGACTTATGACTTTGTGTTCCAAGTAACAGAGACCTGGGAAGAATAATACTGACAGGGACTCACTGTTATGATGCTACAAGGCTCAGATAGATCATTTGAACGTAGTATTAGGATCTTTTATTTAATTGTCATTATTATTTAATTAGACAGATTTTTATGCCATTTTATATTCTAAATTTTCATTTTTAATTCCAAAACCTCTGATTTCCTCATATAATAGCTGTATTTTATGAATGGTCTCAAGTTTTCCCCTAACAATACTTCTGTATTTACATGTACCAGGAAAAATCCATTTATTGGTATGTGTCATAAAACAGATTGCTTTTTTGCTAAAAATAAAATAAAATCACAAGCTCAATTTTTTGGGCCAAAACTGTAATTTTGTGATCTCTAAGACAACCCTTAACAAATAGGGCCCTTTTCAGTTTGCAATTTGATGAAAATACATACATTAATTTATCACCTATGGTATTTTCAACCTCTGTATATTAATTAGATTGGCAAGTTTGTTACTTAATTGTAGACCAGATAAACAGTTCTGTACTGTAACATTATACCTAACAACTCTTACTGAAAAATCATAACATGTTGAGGTTTATTATTTTGAGACTGATCAGACTAATTTCTCACTTAATTTGATCTATCATGGATTACTGTGGACTGAATTTCATATAATTTAAGATTTTTTCTGAGCCCCATATTGTTCAGTGTTAACATCAGTGATGTTCAGACTTGTAACAACTATAACTGTACGTTACACTGACATAACAGCTTCAGAAAAGATACGACAGAAACCTGTTTTGACACAGAAAATTGAAAGATTTAAGATTTTGATATCTACATGAAGATATAACAGAAACTAGTTTTAACATGGTAAATTGAAAGATTTTGATATCTGTGAGAGAAAAAAAATAGTCATGGACATTTTATCTAGGTTACAGTATAGGTACAACCTTCAATGCATAATTGACGGCATTAACCCATTCACCCCTAAAGTCACATTTGAACCTTACCAAATAAAAGACTTGGTAAGTCCAGTTTAAATGTGTAGGGGTGAATGAGTTAAACCGTTTACATAAATGAACAGCATTATAATTATAAAATTCTTGTTCCTGCAGCAAGTTCAGTAAGCAAAATGTTTTAGAATGTCACAGACTATTTATTGTTCATAACAAAAAAAGAATTTCAGATACTAGTGACATCAACTTATTGTGACACTGACTGTAAATCCAATTAAACATATACTGGATAAGAAAACTTCCCATCTCAATAATGACAAAAAGGATGTAACATTTTGGACTAAGTTTACATTGAAAACATTCTACCACATTTTCCGTCCTGAACGTAGCCCAGTTTATGATTATACGGATCATTGTGACTAGTTGTGTTATGTTGGACTAGTGCAAGGCTATGACATGGTGATAATGAGGTATATTGTGATGTGACATATGACGACAATACAACTAGCTACATCACGGACTACCACCACACGGGGCTGTAAATATGCAGTGTACAATTTTTCATTTCCCAGGCTTTTAAAACTTTATAAAGATAAATGACTGATTTAAACAATATCCGCCAGCAAATAGATGTGGATTTCTACAGCAAATTGTGTGGTACATTTACTAGAATGTGGGAGAAAACAATAACTTCTGAAATTACTGTGTTAGAACATTAAGTATAGATAACCGTGTGTACCTAATTTTGTTCAAGTCCTTCTTTTCTCTGCTTGGAAAATATAAAGTGACACAGGTTTACAGTAATTTTTTCCCTTTAAGAACTTGTTACAACAATAAATCATGTAGCTTGATGGTTACCTGTAAATCTCTTTAGGCGGACAGGGAAAACGTGACTTGTACCGAAACCCTAGGCATACTCTCCAGACCCGCCTTTTTTGAAAGACAATTTAGTTTCGAGATATGATTGACTGCAAGAAATTCAAATTTTTTAAATCAGGACTATTATCAGGATTTTCGGGTTTTTGATTAATCTATCATGTACAGATTTAAATCTGAACAATTATATAGTACTTAAATAAAATAGCAGATATTTCCTGTAAAATTGATGTCATATTATTGTTTATAAAGTTTTTAAATTTCTGGCTGGTTTACCTGGAAGATAATGAAATGCAGCTTCAGTGTTTGCATTTTAATCAAACAAGGCGATTTCCAATCTCCTTCCTCAAAATACAATGTTTTATGCTCTTAAAGGGAGGCCACCCTGATAATTAGTGGCATAGTCAGAGAATGTGAACTGAGAGACACTTCGCACCGTCTCATCAATAACACAATATCAAAGGTATAAACACTATAATTTCATGCTTTTAAGAAAAATATCTTCATCAAAACCACTGAAACAGTTTACAATTAAATAGACAGAGTACTATACATGCTTTAATTTATGATATTCATTAATTTAATGGTATTTAGGATAACTTCTAGGAGAGTCTATCTTACACAGCAGGTAGATAACTTAATGATAATATTGTCCTGGTAAACATTGGACATACTGTAAACATATCTATTTGAGGGTTGACTTATTTTAGCAGTTATTGAGCTGCTTTGTAATTTAATTCAAACACAGAAGTTTAAATTAAGAAATTATAACATTTATGCAGTTACATTCAAAGATAATGTATAAGTGATAATGTATACAGGGCTACACAATACACAGCTGGCAAGGAAAACACCCATGGACACCTGACTTGGTGTCTTTTTAATTTATTTGAGACAGAATATTGTAGGCAAGCAGCTGACAGAATCACAAAAGTTGTAAATTTCACAATTTCCAAAATCAGACTTAAGAGTTTTTGATCAAATATGACACGGAATAGTGAAATATTCATGTATTTTAGAAGAAAAATGCTCAACAACATCACCTCTTGACTTGAAAAAGTTATGATCACGTTAAGAACATCTAAGTGTTCAGAAATTTAGCAATATTGTGGCCAAAAGTTTTTAAAATAGTATTAAAGTTTTAAGTATAACATGATATTGTAAAATAAAATATGTTGTATACAATATTGGATAGTAACATTTTATATGCCCAAAAAATACAATGACCAGCTAATTAATAATAAGGTTGGTATAGGGTTGTGACTTTGGATCGTAAAATGTTTCCTATACAGTAATAGGTGTAAAAAGTGACCTGCGATAGTGATATATTGTGACCTTATTGACCAGATATTTTTACTGTATGTATAGTTAACAAAGACATCCTGATATTAAACAATCAACAGACAATAGAGTTATGGAATGGAAAAATATTATGCAATAGAATTTAAAATGCAAAATGAAAGGTCAACAAAATTATGGAAAATAACATATATCATGAATTTGTTATTTACAAGTATTCTGTTTCTTGAACAGAAAGAAAAGTGGACAAAAATATGCCTGGTAGTCATTAAACATGTGCTAAAGTTAATATTAATCTAAGTAGTGATACTTCGAATAAATAAAGGAAAACTAAATCTGATATTCAATGATGTCAGAAGATATTTGTTCATTCATGCAGAAAAAGATCTCCTTCAGGATATGATGTTTTTGTTAAGATATAAATTTGAGCACTTTTAATTGACAAAATGAACAATTTTTCGTCAATAAATAAAATCTGAATGAATTCTGTAAAAAAAAAAATCCGATACAAATGCATCAAAAAAGACGAAGTTATTGGAACTAATAAAGTGTCAAATATAGGACTTATTTTGTGCTGTGTATAGTGAAAAATTTACAGATCAGACATTTCGTTTTTCCGTAACATATAAACTCTATATAACAGAAATATAGTTTTTGTGTACAGTGGAACATCAATAGACTGAATACAAGTAATTTGGTTTGTGTAGCATAGAACCTCTACAGACCAAATGTTATGTTTTGTAAAAGTGATCAACAACATCTAATTAAGACTTCTTGACAATGTAAACTTACCAATAAGCAAAATTTTGCAGAAATCAGAGAGTTTTGAGCAAAACCCACTCTAGTATACTGACCAGAACAGTAAACTAGTAGAATCAAACAAGCGACTAGCTCTTAAACTGTTCAACATGAATACAGGTAACAGTAAAGGATACAAATGAGGTATACAATACAAATACACGTTCTATATTGAACACGGAATGAAATTTTACAAGATGAAAGACAATGTACTACATTAAATTATATATAAGACCATCCGGTTTCTGTCAAACACAGGGGACACTCAGATCATTCCAGTGGACAATCACAATCTCTCTTCTACCCATGAGAGTAAAATCTCCTGGTATCGGATGGTCCCTTGGCGTGACAGAAGGGGAGGGTACTATACTACAAAGGGACTACGAGGCACAAACTGATTATGCTGCGTATAACGTCCCCATTTACTCACACTTCCTCACGAAAAAATAGATCACAAATCTTAATGTTATTAGCATATCATCACATCAATGTATATATATACACATGTAGATATTCACTCACCATATCAGTATATCATTCAACAAGTTACAATGGTAATGTGACAGGGTCATTTAATCACTATGGTCATGTGACAGGGTCATTAGTTTACCATGGTAACATGACAGGGTCATTAAGTTACCCATGGTAATGTGACAGGGTCATTAGGCTACCATGGTAACATGACAGGGTCATTAGGGTAACCATGGTAACATGACAGGCCCAGTATGTCAACATGTTAAGGTGACAGACATTATGACAGGGTTAGTAGGTCACCATGGTAATGACACAGGGTCAGTAGGTCACCATGGCAATGTCACAAGGTCAGTTGGTCACCATACTATGGGTCAATTCATCAGCAGAATTAACAAACATTTATTTACTTTCAGGATCATCAAATGATACAATTAACAATGAATGAACAGTTAGTCTGTTAACCCTGTGTTATTACATATATATAAACCATGTGTGACAAAGAGATTATAAAATATAGAAGTTATCTTAAATATAAACAATTTTTTAATACCTGTACTAATGTACTAGTAACTCAAATACATTACGCTCGAGCTTCCTCTGAAATATGTCTAAAATCTAAGTCTGATCTTAGGACTTTTCATGTAATAACTCTCTCCAGATAAATAAAACAATAATAACAGTCATAACAGCTAACAATAATTTTTCTTATGTTATAAACAAGTCATCAAGATACATGTACATGTATCAACACTTGTCTCTCTGATATTGTACACAACATTACTAACTAATTCTTAAATACAACAGTTTGTATTTTCTTTCTGAGGCATACAACTATTCTAATCATAGATAAATAAACATTTCACTAAAATTGATATCAGCAATAACAATATATTAAATAAATAATCTTGTATGTTACTCTATGTTAAGAACGCCACTAAATTAATGTCAAATAAGGATATATATCACCCTTCAAACCTTCATGGATTTCAAGACCAAATTATGCCAATGCTCCAACAGATTTATGGTAATGATACAAAAGATTTTGTTTACCTCTTACATGAGTAATGCTTCATGAATTGTTATTTGTGTCAACTGAATAGCACGTCCCAATTTTGTAAACCTAGAACCTTTTTCGAATTCAACCTAATCAAACATCAAATTTCATTCAACGAATAAGTAAACATTTTGGAGCATTATTAATTTTTTTCGGAAACGGTACAGCTTTTTCAAAATTTCCTAGCTGAGTACAATTTCAGAATCAACACTTTTCAAGATTTATCAAGTTATCAGTCAATTTTATAAACCGAGGCATCAATAGGGTTACATACATATACAAAATGACACACAGAATTGTTTGTTATTTAAAATTCACCCAATTAACAGTCTAATCAGTGACGCATATATGGTCAATCATACACACATTATAAAAGTCTTTGCGAAATGACCATCAGAGTTACCTCCCCTGATGGTAAGGTATACTGTGGAGATTGATTTGTGTGTTGCTATGACAACCAACTTGTTATCACGCTTTCTGGGTAATGCTGTACTCCTCTTGATCGGAGTCACTTAGGTCAATCTCATTGTCACTTTCGTCCGTATTCAATCGGTTGAATCCTCGGTGTGGGCTGAGGAGGTCACCAAGGTTAAACTTTTTGCTGGGGTATGATCGATGTCGTCCGCAACAATCGTATTTGCCTGCAAAAGAAAATGAAAATTATGAGAATTTCCGGAATTGATAACAGATGTTCAAACAAGAATTTTACAAAAATGCATTTTGTATCTATGATTGCAGCTTCTTGTATCATGCAACGTGAATATAAAACTTATATTATAGAGAAATAATGTGTCTTATTAAACTGAACATGGCGCTTCTGAAGTAAAATCTCAAAAAACCTTCACTCTAAAGATAACATTTAAGGTGCACTTACTAATGACCTGTAAATTGAAGCATACACAGTTAAATTTTTACTACACAAAACATAATTGGTAACAAATCCTTATACGCCCAGTGTTAGTTTTGTCATTTAGATTGTAAGGTAACCACATGTTGTAAGTCAAACTTCAATGTTTCAAACTGTGCTGGGCCATCAGAAAAAGAACAATTGAGACTGCAACTCATGAATATTGAACTTTGAACATCTTTGAGATCTTGTATATACTGCAAGGGACTAATTAATTGTAAAATGAAGGAACATAAAGCAAGAAATTTAATTTTGAATGAAGACATATTGGATTTAATATAAAAGTATGTTTACATGTATTTATATGCTGAAGTTTGCATGTTTAGATATTTAAATCACCATGGGACATTTCAATATTCATGTACAGGTAATTGTTTTAATTCAATTCATTACTTGTAATTTTCAATGATTTCCTAACAGTCAGAAAATTGACTCATAAGTAGTGTTATACTGTATAAGGAAACAAATCTGGTCTTAAGTTCGACACATAGAGAAATTGGAATCTTCCAAGTTTGAGTTATGGAGGTTTGACTGTACAAAATAATATTCACCATCACGATAAAATTGACTTCATTTACCAGGAGTCAAGGAAGAATGTTAAACAACAGGAAACACTGTTGGTATCCCGCATTTCTGACCATGTAACTCACCAGTACCAAACATTCTAACAACCAAGACGACACCAGGAACACAAACTAAGATGGTTGCCAAAGCAACACAATTTTACCATACTTACAATTAATCAAACTTATACCAGTAACTTATCCATCAATCTTACCTTTGGTCATTATCAACAATCATATCGGCCAACTCTTAATTACTTTATGTTATAGCGTATCCAGAGGGTTTTTTTGGGCTTCAAGAAACCCCCCCACTCTGAGAATTTTCTTGTAAAATCCTGTATTTTCACCTTTTTCCTCAATTTTCTCCACATGGAACCCCCACCTGGAAGTTATGACCCCCCCCCCCTCCCGATTAGTCTCTAGATACACCAAGCTGGGCTTTTCAATTAAGTGTTAGTGATATATACAGCATGCACATATTAGAATTTTCAATTTCCCATTCACACTACAATAAAAAAAATCTCATAAAATTTGTCAGTACTAAATCAAACTTATCAACTTAGCCAATCAATGATCATATTACAATGACCAATCAAGTATTACTGCACTGAATGTAATGTTTTAATAGACAGTTTGATTCAATTTCGTACATCCTACTGCTGTTTACTTACTTGACAGTTATTTTTTAATGTGCGTTCATATTAAGCATTTAATTCAAGTACCACAAGAACACATTTTTAACATAATAGAAGGCATACAGCAGGGTGAAATCCAACAGGAAATTTATGTCTTCGAAAATAAAATGTTTCGATATATAGGTAACCTACAATATTAATCCAATCACAGGAAAACTGTAACATTCTTACTATTTGTTCAGTAATCCTCTAAAACTTGGCCATCCCCCTTTTTTTTTTTTTTTTTAAGTGGGTTTTGTTGAATGAAAGCTCGACATTTTACATTTATACGCAGAGGAAAACTTTTATTTCACAATATCTAACTGAAATAATCTCTGTTCCAAAGGAGTCCTGACAAGTTAATGATAATTTTGACTAGTACATGTACATTTGATCAATGAAACTAGAGGCTTTATCTGACCTAACGATTGTGAACCAGTTCAAGGGAGATAATTCTAGCACAAAACACAAAATGTTTAAGCTGGTATATACCCTTAAGTACAAATTCACACAATAAGTAAGGAGAAAAATATGTTAGTACATTTATTAATCCCTCTCCACATCCACATTCAACAACCACAATTTTTGAGAATCAATTTTCCACAACACCCCATCATGAGAACACGCTGTGTGTAGTATACCTCTATACAGTCGGCTGGATTCACATTGTGTCTCCGTGTCTTCTGGCCTGTTTTACAGTGGCAGGGGGAAGCACAAATATATTAGTCACAATACAACAAACAAAACACATTAGCTCACCACACAGCAACACTGCGTCCAGTTACATATAGCCGTAAGCAGGCTGGTGTTGACAAATGTACCCACTCAGTTTCCACAGTGCAATCCAGTTATATATAAAGTGACATACTGTAAGTCTTCATATTACATTACTTTTCCATTGGGTCTACCAGTATGTCAGTTTAAAAAAATGTTTTTATCCATTTAATTTGGTATAAAATAATGGGAAATTAATGGTAATCTCACTGATATTTTTAATGGGTCAATTAATGGCATTTTCATGGTCAATGCATGCAGTAGTGAGTAACAAGCCATTTTTTTTCAAAATTTTTCATTTAGTTGAAACTATGAAGGATCTTTGTGATAACCAAGTAGGTTCAAATGTATACAGGTACAATATATAGGTTGCAGACAGTATTATAGCGATAATATATCGAAGTAACTGTGTTCTCTTCACCAAGCAGTACAGTACAAACATTTTATAGATATGGAATATATATATAGGGTTACACAAAAGATTACATTTAAATATCAATAAGTATAAGAAATTATGAAGATATACTATATTTAGAGGTTAGACAGAGGATAAGCTCAAGTATAGCAATAAATACTATGATGGCTAAAGTTGAGATAAAAGAGGACACTACAAAGACAGAGGATGTCTAGGTAAGGTAGAGTACAGATCAACCCTGTCTGATTGTTGTAAAGTACACAGCTTCTTAACAAAAACATTTTGGATCAAACAAAGCTAGTCATACTTTATAAGACACTTAACTCTGACATGTACTTCTCTTGGGTAACACAATCATTTATCAGTTCATAATCTTTGAAAGATTTTTTTCTATCTAGGAACTTCAAGTAGCTTTTCAAAGAAAACCATCAACATGACTTATATATTAAACCAAGACTAGTTTTACAGGTTGTTTCATTGCTTCAAATAAGGTAAATTAACTGCATCCTGACAGTACAGCTCCTGTTAGATTGTCACTGTTTGCCAAAATGAGTTTTAATATTTGTTCAGAAGCTGTGAACGAAAAGATGCGAGAAAGCACATGCCTGTTAAAACAACACAATGTAGGAACATAACAAGAACAAATTATCAAAAAACAACATAAAATTAACATAAACAGGTAATAGCCTACTAGGGAAAGCAAGGTGAAGCACAGATAATACAGAAAACAGGTGTATTGTTACAGTCGAGAAACAAGGGGGGACAAAACTCATTAAAATCAAATATTAAACTCTCGTACTAAAATTATTCTGTTCTGATTTGACAACAGCCTAAATTCGGTAATAATGAATGTATCTAATTTTGTTATTGTCCCTGAGATTAAATACTAATGTACGAGAGCTCCTGATGTCCGTGACATTAAATACTAATGTACGAGAGCTCCTGATGTCCGTGACATTAAATACTAATGTACGAGAGCTCCTGATGTCCGTGACATTAAATACTAATGTACGAGAGCTCCTGATGTCCGTGACATTAAATCCTAATGAACGAGAGCTTCTGATGTCCGTGACATTAAATACTAATGTACGAGAGCTTCTGATGTCCGTGAAATTAAATACTAATGTACGTACGAGAGCTCCAGATGTCCGTGACATTAAATACTGATGTAAGAGAGCTCCTGATGTCCGTGACATTAAATACTAATGAATGAGAGCTCCTGATGTCCATGACATTAAATACTAATGTACGTACGAGAGCTCCAGATGTCCGTGACATTAAATACTGATGTAAGAGAGCTCCTGATGTCCGTGACATTAAATACTAATGTACGAGAGCTCCTGATGTGATTATAATGAGAAATTTTGATGCAACAATTAACAGACGAACGGTTATAAAACTTATTTACCATTTTTGTAGACCCTGACGACAATAACGACGATGACAATGATGACAACAGGGATGACGAGAAGGACACCTATGATAACTGCTGGTAAAACAGTGTCATCCTCATTAAGCGTTCCCTTGGCTACGATCGGCTCTGACGAGTCGGTTGTGGCATCGGATACTCCGCTCGGTGAAGTTGTGCCTGTGATTCCTGAAGCTGCAACAGGATTTAAGTGCATGAAGACAAAATTGATAGATTAGGCTGATAAACATAGATAACATTGTTTTGATGTATGCTTGTATATTAACCCTTTCACCACTGTAGACCATAATGGAATAATCCTGATCAATGCATGGGAGAGTCTACTAAAGTTGCATAGGGGTGAAAGGGTTAAAGCTGTTCAAACCAAAACATGGTCTTTATAGCAAAATTCTTAAAACTCGAAAACATAATGAATGCTCACCTTTTTTCTGAAGTCCATAAATGGATTACAATGAATCAGTTGACAAAATAGCAAATGCACATCTATAAATAGCAATAGTGACCTTGGCAGTAACCTTAAAACCTTGAAATAGACACTCATACAAAATATTTCATTCTTGAACTTTGTATAAACTTAAAGAAAAATCTGTTAAGAAATAATGTTGTTGGAGTCACGACAATATATGAAACGTAATGGGTGGACATTGTAGTAACTCTAAATGACTCCGCCATTTTTATTGGCGTGGAGAGCATACAAACAAGTCAAAATATACATAGCAAATATTACTATGTATATGACAGTAAACAACATTTGGGCGCTTCAAATGAACATTATTATTAATTGATACTACAAGTAAGGGTAATCCACTTTACAGATCTCATTTCTGATGCAACATATGTCACGCCTACAGATATTTAAAACTGGACAGGTGACCTACCTGTGGTAGATTTTGGCCCATTGCCATTAGTGACGATAGATCCACTCTCCCCCATCATGTCAAACCGCCAAACCTTGTTAGGGTTTAGCTCGCCTACGTACACTCGCAGATTGTGGGGGTCCACTGCCACGTCATGGGGATTCTTCAGGCCCTGCAACCAACAATGCAGATGGAAAACCTATACAGAATGTTCATAAATCTCTCTTGTCTTTTACAGAATTCCTTAAGATTGCTATCTTACTGTGGCATACTGTCTTGCCAAGAGAGTAATCTTCCCTAGAGAAATCTGTGAGATATCTTTATTAACTGGTAATTTTGGCTTTGTTTTACACACTTGAAATGTACATAAGATTTATTAAACAATAATATAAGATACTTCTATTGCAAATAAACAAAAGGGGAGATAACAAATCAAAGGTATAATGTATAACCTAGCATATAGCTTTAATACAATCAACAGACATAATGTGTAAGGAAACATATATGTATAACCTTAGTTCTAACTCAAATTACATACATGTAGGTATGATATGTAAGGTAGCATATACCCTTAACTCTAACAAAAATTACAGGAATAAAGATTAAGGTAATCTTAATTCTAATACAAATTACATACATTGGTATAATACGTAAGGCAGCCTATACCCTTAACTATAACAAAAATTACAGGGAATAAGTTTAATGTAGCATATTAACTTAACAGCTAAATCAAAAGCATAATGTGCATTAAGTTAGCATGTAACATTTCAATTTTTATTTCCATATCACAGAATTTGCATATATAGAAGTCTTACATTCTCACCTGTTTTCTTGGTACTGTTGAACGTGTTATTGATTTTGACGCATCAAACAAAAGATAAAAGGTGCTCTATATATGCCTATATAGATACATTGATAACCTGCCTGTCTAGTCTGTGATGTTATCTTGGACTACATAAACACGGTGCTGTGTAGCCAGACAGTAAATATTGCCCTTTTTCTGTTTAAAAATACACAGGTAGCTTTATTTTTATGGCTTATGACTCATCTTTATGTCTGAAATTATTACTCTTGACTGATAACAGTAGGTAGGTTTTGGTGATGATTGAGGTAATGTTTGTGCTGTACAGATCTTTAGATATAAAATACATATATACAGCCCTACATTTACATTTACACTGCAAGTTCCCCTATAAACATTACCAGGAGGAATTGTGTTCATAGAGCTATGAACGCAATTTCATAAACGGCAATTTGAAGCTTCTCCAGGAATCCTATTTTTAATGACGACAGACACTAGTACTTCAGTATCAAAAATATAAGGGAATTTTTATATTCAGGTCAATAATAACTCAATATCTAGAATGTAAATATAAGGACTTAGCAGCATTTTTTAAATGTTCATGCGGGTATAAACGTTCATATCTGCATGAAATTGATTTGTTTTTGTTGTCAGACACCGTACACAACAAACTACTACATACATCTTGTGTATTCCAGGTTTCAGACAGTGTGCCAGTATTAATGTCTATGATGAAACCTCGGACAGTTGTCTGGCTGTTATCCAGAGGTGGACCGTTGACCGCAAACAGCAAACCATCTGCAAATATATATCAAGCCTAATTACAAACATTGTCCCTGTGAAGTATACCATGGGTCAGTAGTGAATCTAGTGATGTTTTGATTTGGTTTTATTTTTGAATCTGACTTTAATTTTATTTTTTCCTCATGATGATAACTATGATGTATGAAAATACTAAACATGGAGTACACCCATGTTCTGCATGTTTTGTGTGACTTTGTTTGGCTGGGTGTGACTGTGGTGTGACTTTGTTTGGCTGGGTGTGACTGTGGTGTGACTGTTTGGCTGGGTGTGACTGTGGTGTGACTTAGTTTGGCTGGGTGTGACTGGTGTGATTTTGTTTGGCTGGGTGTGACTGGGGGGGGACTTTGTTTGGCTGGGTGTGACTGTTGTGTGACTGTTTGGCTGGGTGTGACTGTGGGGTGACTTAGTTTGGCTGGGTGTGACTGGTGTGTTTTTGTTTTGCTGGGTGTGACTGTGGTGTGACTTAGTTTGGCTGGGTGTGACTGGGGTGATTTTGTTTGGCTGGGTGTGACTGTGGGGTGACTTAGTTTGGCTGGGTGTGACTGGGGTGATTTTGTTTGGCTGGGTGTGACTGTAGTGTGTTGGTTTGGCTGGGTATGACTTTGTTTGGCTGGGTGCGACGTTGTTTGGCTGGGTGTGACTGTGGTCTGACTTTGTTTGTCTGGGTGTGACTGTAGTGTGACTTTGTTTGGCTGGGTGTGACTGTGGTGTGACTTTGTTTGGCAGGGTGTGACTGTGGTGTGACTTTGTGTGGTGATTTTGTGTGTTTTATGTGTGTCTTTAACTCAGGTAGCGTGTCAAGTGTTCTACACAAGATCTGTCAAGTAAATCTGAAACCAATTGATTAGCTTGAAATAGAAAAATCTTTATAAAATTTCCACAAAACATGGAAATTATAAAAAAAAAAAAAAAGTGATTACATTAAATTATTGTTCCATCAATCAAGTCTGGGTATACCATGGTAACACAACACATATTTTGGGATTCATTGCATAAAAATTTTCTTTGCAACAGAATGGCTAACCTGTTTTATGCTGTATAACGTCAATGTACCTGACTGCTCTATCACTGTTATATCAGTGTGGTATGTAAAACAATACCAAATTCAAAGGGAAACTAAGAAAATGTTTTAAATTGAATCAATACTTCACAATTGATAATATAGATTACAAAACAGGATTTGGAAACTGCGTAGTCTGTATACTACCTACCATGGAGTGGACAGTACTCAATAGCAAACAGTCTCGGCCCAAACTCTGCAGGGTGGATTTGTTTCTGAAAATTTCCATTGAAATCGAAGCACTGAATTCTGCCGTTTTCTCGGTCAGCCACGCACAACAGGCCTTTGTCCTCTGCAACTGTTAGACTGTGGGGGATGTCAAAACTGCCCTCAGGAGGAAAACCATCAGCTGTCGATAGATTAAAATCATCCATGTACAATTTAACTTGTAGTAATTTTATTGACCTGTCAATGTTTATTATATCCGAATGAATAATTATCCTTTCCAAATTTAGCAAACTATCAAGGGAGATAATTCGTGATACCCCTGAACATATATAACGTCCACTGAAATGGATTATTTATACATGTCTGTACATATGATACATATAGATATGGCAGGTGGCTACATGTGTAGCTTTGACTTACCTTGTATTGTCATCAAACCATTGCCAAATGATTTTATGAATGTTCCATCCTTTGAAAACTTCATTATTCTGGAGTTACAATATCTGGAAAGATAAAATATTTCATTATTATTACATTTATCATCAAGTAACATTTCCTTCGTTGCACTACATAATTTTGAAGGAAATTTATTCTGAAGGCATTTAACTCATTCACCCCTGAAATTTTATAATGAACTTTTCCAACCTCTGAATTGGAAGAGTTCAAAGGTGTCTTCAGTGGTGAATGAGTTAACATTCAAAGGATAGGAGAGATATTATCAATGCAAATAGTAGGAAAAGGGAGCATCCTTACTCAAACACACCTTACCACATGATCCGAATAAGTACCATTGGTACTAATTGGGATCATGTGGTTAGGTGTGTTTGAGTCCACAATAAGTGCCATTCGACCACCTTTCTGTATATTGGTGCTATAGCTCTAGATAAGCAGATAAATTTAGACTACATATTTATATACATCAGGAGCAAATGTATCTAATTGTCTTGTTAAAAAATATAGTCGAGAAATTTACCCATCTGCGACAAAAAATTCTCCTGTGGATAAAACAGCAACGTCTGTTGGTTTACAGAAATGACTGTTGTCACTTCCTGGCTGGAACTTCACCCCTAAGGTCAAGTTTGGCTGGTCACTTCCTGCCGGGAACATCATTACCTAAACACATAAGTTTAATCCATTAGTATCTTACAATCGTCATTCCAATAAATAGATATCAATTTACCTTTTTCATGAGTCCTTGAGGTGGGTAGACTTTATACTAGAATAGCCCTATCATATAATAAAGATATAAAGATAACAATTATTGCCAGAGTCTGCTTCTAGCAGAGTTTGACCTTATGAGATGTGTCGTGAGGTTATGTCATACATATATGATAGGAAGTTAAGCTTTTCATCAGCTTGCAATTTTTATTATAATGAGGCCTGATCTCTACTCCAAACCACTTATCAACTGGTTCTTAATAGTAGGAATGTTTCAAAACATATTAAATATGAAGTCCTTTCATTAAGGGTTGAAGTTAAATCAAAACAGTCAAGACAGAGTGATTTCCCTTGAACCCTATTCAATTTAAAACATTAAAGCTGACAGTGCAAGTTAAAAAGCTTCAATTGAGGTTAAATGGTGTGTTTTTTCAAAACATTTATTTTCTGGTTTGGAGATCTGCCCCATATCTTCCAACTATCGTTTCTAAGGGAGTGTCGACATTTTTTCCTCGCTTGGTAACGAGTATGGGTCTAACTGGGTATAAAAAGTGCATTACCTGTCAAACTGGTTAGCATTCTACAACTGATTGTTTTGCGATTCAATGCACCGCACACCCTGATCAGCAACCGATATCAAAAATCAAACACACTCACCTGGATACTTTGAAACACTGCCAATTCAAGCTGGTTGTTACTCATGGCACATTCTTGAAAATTGTGTATCCAAAATATAAAGTATCTTACTGAACACACTTCTATAAATCCCATATATAACATCAGTGTTTCTCGTGCATAGAACTGCACCAACACACAAAAACTTTATCATGAACTCTTAGTCTTCATCATGTAGACGCTTTACTAGCAGGTGTAGTCAACAACAATTGTAGTCAACAATATGATATTTGATAATTGAACCTTTCTCATTGAAATGATTGGAATTAGTATTGTTTTCACACAGGAGGTTATCACTATTTGAATATCTAAAAGGCAGGCATTAGCGTTTGTCGTACGTTTGTTTCTTTCAGGGCTGTTGTTATTTTTTTGGGGGGGGGGGGCAGGGATTGTGCATTAGATATTTTAATTGGTTGTATTTTACTACTATTTCCACTTTTCTTAGGTAAATAATATCATTGATGTGTACCATTCCAATTTTGTTCCACTGATCTGATACAAGTTGGTAAAAAATTGTGCGTGAAAGTGTTCTATATATATAGGAAGGTAGTGTCACCTTGTGCACACATTGAACAAATGATAACCGGTTTGACAGATAATGCGCTTTTTATACCCAGCGTGGCCCATACTCGTTACTGTACCAAGCAAGGACAAACTAAAATGTCGGCACTTCCTTAGAAACGGTAAAAGGAAGAGATGCAGAAGATCTCTAAAACAGAAAAACATCAACTTTTTTTTTTTAAATCTCAATTAAAAGCTTTTTAACTTGCACTGTCAGCTTTAAAGCAGGATAATTTTTATTTGTTGCACTCGAAAAAGTTTGATGACTTGGAAAAGAATTATTTATTCTTGACTTGGAAAAGAATTATTTATTCTTATCAGATTGGGAACAAATTATTGGTAAAATCAGATTTTATGGCAATTGTTGACGAAAACCTTCAACTTTTAAAACATTAAAATTTTAACACAAACCAGGTTTTTATGACCAGTTGAAGGTTATACATGATTATTTGTGGCAATGCAGGGTTAAAGAGATACGTACCTGATGCAGACCTACGTCGGTGACCCAGATATTGTAGTTTTGGTCTACTGTTATACCGTGGGGCATGTAAAATCTGTAACACAGACAACCCCCACTTTACTTCTCCGTAGACTATTTTTACCTGAGGTGTTCTTTTAACTTGTACTCTGGCTATCACTCTGAATTAATGCTCAAAAACATTTTCTCTGTACCACTGTACAAAATCACCACAAGCCATTTAAAAATAAGCTAATTATCTTTCTCATGATACTACTTTAAGAGTTAAAACCGAAATGTATTTTTTATTACCATAAACATGATCGTTTTATAGAAGAAATTCTTTTAATGCGAATGTTTTACATATATTAAGATTATAACAATCGATCAGTTACAACATTAGGTTTCTCTGACACATGAAAAACAAAATATAATTGAAATCAATGTCTTACATGTTTTTGCCAAACTTGCGGAGGATATGGCTATCTTTGTCATAGGTGATGATAGTCTCCTGTTCAATAGGACTGGTTTGTTGTTGGAAAACATTCTGGAAGTTAAATGAGCTGAAAAATACAAATATAAAAAATAAAAATAAAATAAAACCTTACTTCAACCCCTGATGCTAATTACTGTAGATGACAGTGGTGGTGTACATTTTTTTTATTTTCCAAGTGCCTGCAAGCATATTTTGCAAAATCTTACTAGCCTGAACTATATTCTATCATATAAAATAAAATCTGATATCCCCAGGTATCAGGTAAATGAAATTTTACACCCCTCTGTCTAATATTTTTTATTCACCGATATATTATACCTGTATAGTCCTCGAATAATAAAGTATCAATCTTTTTTGTACCAGAACTTTAGGAACAGGGTTATGTTCAGTTCCAGTACGAGGTAAAATTTGTTCTTTTTCAGAATCAACGTTGCCTGAAATGTGTATGGAGTTTCTTATTAGATGACAAAATTTGAAATTAAAAAGTATCAAAATTATCAATTACTGAACGTTTAGAAGAAAAGAAGGATTTTTTTTTTACATATATTTAGTAATGCAACAATTGATGAAGTATGGTCATCTATGTACAACATGCAGCTTACGGCAATCAGGTCAAAAAGTACACAAAACTTTGTATATACCTGCCATCCCAGACTCGGTTGCCACGGTGAAACACGTAGACTCCTCCTTTGTTGTCGGTGGCAACCCCTCCCACCTGTCCAATTGGATAATCAAGGCCACTCACAGAAGAACTACTCATGGCTTTGTCGGACATGAAATCTGACTGGAAGTTTACGTAGTGTTGAAGACCTGTAAAAACCGTTATATTTTATTACATAAGGAGATCCTTTAGTTATACAATCACAGAAACTCAATTACACATTTTTCTATAATCTAAATGATAACGAAGAAAAAAATATTCATAATCATATCAAATACAATTTTCAATGATTTATGAGTCAGCCAAGAAGTAAGTACCAACTGACCAGTGACACTTGAGTTTGTTGTGATTTAAACTTCCATTCTTTTGATTGATCTATTTGTTAATGTAGAAACAGATGTCACGTAAATACGATTTAGTTAAATACTAGAGTCTATATATCTCCTGTCTGTATTAAACTCATGCATTCCTATTTGGTTTGATAATTACTTCACTCCAGCACCATCAAACTGGTAATTAGTTGTAACAACTCTAAATCATAGATTAAAATTTACCACAATCAATATAAATCCATCTGAATTATAATATGCAAATCTTTACAATCTAATTAAAATTAGATCTTTACATTGTGTAAGAAATCAAGGGTTGTCTTGGTTTTCATTAGCTTGTTAGAAATATGATTATTTATAGAGGTTGAATGTGACATGGCCCTTAATTATATGTTATCAGATTTTTGATGGGATATATCTATAAATAGAAGTAATGTGAAGATCTAAATTTCATTGGATTGCAAATTATTTTTATTAGATTACAAATATATACAGGGTTACAGTAGTATTTTACAATGACATTTACGACTGACAAAGAAAAATGTTGATGAAACTGAACGTGATAGGATGAAGATGATTCACATGACAACAACAGGAACTATAAATAGATACACTCACAATACTAAAGTCTGACAAAAACAAACAACAACTGGATAACAGCCCTCAAAAACAACAAAAAACACATCCAAAATTAATAATAAGCAATATCTGGAAGCTGTGTCTAAAACTTCTTTCTTAGCAACTTCATTTAAAATTCTTTAACTAACAACTGCAAGGTCATTCAAATTCATGAATTTAACTGCATCCAGCTATGAAGCAAATAAATCAATGGTAACAGCGCTCACGTTTTAAATCAGGCATATTTTAAAAGGCAACAAGAGTTTCATGACAATCAGCAGAAAGTCAGGGTAAATTTAACACAACAAAGGGATTATGGGTAACAGCCATGCTGTGTACTTACTACCCCCGACCTTGACCTTCTTCACTGGGGCGGGCATGGTTCTTGTACCATGAGCTAGTCCAAACTCAGATTCCCCAAACTTTTTACGAGGATCATGAAAATTACGACCCTGGGTTTCTGGTTGAATTCCATTAAACCTATTGTCAGCTACGGTGTCTCGACTTGTTTCACCATAATGTCGGCTCAGACTGTCAAACACCTTATTCCTATTCCGATTTTTCATTTGAATGTCAGGCGATGCCATATCATCTGCAGTGCCCATGTATGGAAGTCTATTCATCGCTTCACCATAGTAATCAAAACTTTGATGTGGCCGTTTTCTGCCACGTTGCGATTCTACATCAGAGTAATAGTCGTCCAGTTGATAATCAGGAACATATTCCCTGGGGTAGACATTTTGTTTAAAGCGGGATGGTAAATATTCACTGTACAGAATGTTGTTCAAATTACCTGGCTTACTGCCGTCTGTTGGTTTGTCGATTGTGTTGGGCGCGACGTCCGAGTCTTCGTGACCTTGCATGTGACTTCTGTGACCATGTGCCGCAGCCTCTAGAGTGGCGTTGTATGGGAGCTGTACATCTGAGCCTGGAGGAAGGTTCGTGATCAGACTTGGCACATTGTTGCCAACGCACTGTGGGAAGGGGATCTGTGTGCTGACCTCCTTGTAGTACATGATATAAAAGTTACACATCTCATCCCCTGCTGTGGGCCTGAAAATTATACACACATCATCATGTAAAAATTATACATTTTGTCAGATACACACAGATCAGGTCATTGTACTACCAAGACGACAATTGTTCATTATTTTGGTACCGCCATTGACAATTGAGATAAGTATTATATGCATTTGAAGAAAAGCTGAGAACATTTGAACCTTTAGTTATATAACTTTCTTAAGAATTCCTTTAAACATTTCTCTCAAATAATCGCCAAACACCTTTATAACAAATAAATTTATATATATTTAGATAAGTATTATATGCATTTGAAGAAAAGCTGAGAACATTTGAACATTTAGTTATATAACTTTCTTAAGAATTCCTTTACACATTTCTCTCAAATAATCGCCAAACACCTTTATAACGCCATTTTTTTTCTGGACAGATTGGTGAATTTAAATCCAATCCCTGTACAATCATATTTACCCTATAACTGTAGTTTTCATCCTCCCTGTAGAATTGTATGTGCATCGTCCCACCTGTAAACATAAATGAACACCATATCAAACGGGCACCTCATGCTACGCCTATGCGAAGTACAAGGAAAAAACAAAGCACGATACAGCTGTAACCCAAGTACATTCGGTTTAATCTTAACATCATGACATGATGACACCAATCTTTCTGTTCAGGTCTGATCAACCTTCAGATAATGCATGATCAGTTTAATTATGTAACAGAAGACAGAGAAATGCAACGGCCAGACTTGGATTCGAACCAGGGGACCCTTCGAAGTCGAGAAGGATGCTCTACCAACGGAGCTACCTGGTCGCCGACGTTCGACTCAGCCCAGTTCCCGCCGACGATCGACTCAGCCCAGTTCCCGCCGACGATCGACTCAGCCCAGTTCCCGCCGACGATCGACTCAGCCCAGTTCCACTTCACAAGCTTGATGTCTGGCTTATATCGGTTTACATAGTATGAAGGGTTCTGGGTAAGGAAGGAGTTCTGTAATCCATATGTAAGGTATGATAAGTGTTAAGGTCTTACCAGTTTATCTCCTGGCTTGATAACAACTTTGTTGGACACTGGATAAAATGACTGTAATAAAAAAAAAAAAAAATGTTTACAAAATCATTGGAAAACAATGAGAAGTACAAAAAAGTAGTTGTAATACTGCAAGAAACTTTGATGATTTGAATTTATTAGTTACTTGGCTAAAATGTTCTGTGCTGCACCACTAGGCAGTAAATATAGAATATAGTTGTACATGCAAGGGGCATAAAACCTAGTATCTAATTATTAAATCTCATAACTCAGAAATAGACATATTATCTGATTCTTTACGTATAGTGAAGATCAAATTTTTAATTGCACTGAAAACTCAGCAGATGGCCATTACAACCTTAATCTCAGGTTTGATTATTATTTGTATTGCAAAAATGTATCTCAACAATCATTAGATCGGATGTGCAATACCAATAATTGGAAAACTGGGATTGGAAGATATCAAGAAAGGAATGTGCTATATTCTAAATAACATTCTATCAAATTAACCTACAATTTGTTATTATTTCTGACATTCTGATTTACAATGGTTGCCATTGTGACGAGTTACCTCCCCTTAACACAACACCTACCTGCGGCCATTGTGGATTGCCCTTGCCAATCATTTTGTACTGGCCTGCCTTGTTGACATGGTAACCAGTGATGACTCTTCCTAAAAGACAACAGCAAGTTAGGTTATAGTGATATTTAACCACTGTTAATGGCTAATTATTGATGGAATTTCAAAAATTTGTCTGCATGACAAAATCTACAAATGAGAATCATCTAAAAACTAAGATACCAAACATAAATGCTATTGTTTATAAATCCACAAAGCTTTAAAATAAGAAGGATGATCGTCATTTCAGTCGTGTTGTTCACAATATAGCAACACAGAAATCTAACAAATTAGAAAAAAGGTATCAAGTTAACAGATTAAACTCCAGCATTACTTTATTAATACACATATACAGTACATTTGTATACTAGGACACATATGCTTAAGTTTATTGTCCATCTTTATGCTCTTCCTAATGAGGCCAAATTTGTCATGACACCAAACACTATATAGTTAATATGTGTGAAAAGCAAAATTAACACTGGGTGAATACAGATTTTCACAGTGAAAGTGAATATTAAACTTGGTTCAACTTTCCTGCTATACAGTATAACTTACCCAAACTGTGAGCATGTGCTCTGAATCCAAACGGATATATATTCCCCGAGGCTGTAAATCCACAAGAGATATCGGCACTGACTTCTGAAAATAAGAGAATTCAGAAAATTAATGTACCATGGTTGATATAGGCTTACTTCCTCATAAGAAATATTTCAATATTCTTCAAAATTAAATTTAGTGTGGCTTTTATTAATCACAGTACATTGCTTTCCTCTAAAAAGTGAAATACATATATGCATGTCATAAAAGATACTTTTTTTTCTGTAAAAATAAAAAGGTTTTCAGTTAAAGGGTATGTATAGGTATGTCAGTAAAAATAAGATTTCTGCAAACAAATGTATATTACTGTTTTGTTATATCATATTATAACACAGCATTGTCAATGAACAGACTTTCTGATTTCTTTTTAAAGTCGAACACTAAACCTTGGTGTGAATATAAGCTTAACTCATTCACCCCTGAAGACACATTTGAACACTTCAAACTCAAAGGTTGGAATAGCACATTATGAAATTTCAGGGGTGAAGGAGTCTCTTAATTGGTTGTTACAAATTTAAGTCAGATACATACTTTTTGTGTTAGGCGGAATGGTGAGAGAGTAAGCAAGCAGAAGAAATATTCCAGCTTCATATCTTTGTCTACAAAACAACAAATCCAACAGAAGATGTTATAGAATTATAATATAAGGATAATAGACACTGAAAGTAAACAATGCAAGATTTCAGACATTTTGTTATAAAAACCCACTGAAATTGTCTAAAAGGGGAGAAACAGCAGTTATATCTTATTTGAAAGTGTAGTCAAGACATTCACAGCTTTTGTACATGTGTTTACAGAGCTTGTCTTAACATTTAATTAAGATTTAACGACCACAGATAATTTGCTATTGATAATGTTGGAAGGTTAGAAAAGGGTTTTAGCTGACTGTGTTAGAGTTTTAGTACATATGTAGTAAGACATATTTGGAAATAATCCTAGGGGCCAATATATCAAGATACATACAATGTTCAGAATGTGTATGAAAGTTATATACACAAGATACAACTTGTTTCCACGAAACGCAATGTAAAATAAAGAAAATGTTCTCATGCATTAAGAAAACCTATGGACAAAAGTCTATGTTCAACACAAGGGAAGTAACTCCACTGACCTTGTACCATCAATATTAAAATACAGACCTGCAAGGTAGCCTATTTGTTATCCCTTTTTTATAAAAGAATTTACCAAACACTATAATTTATTCATTTCATACAACATTAACATTATTGGGTAAACTTTCAAATTTCAGCATATTTTCACAGTATTTTCAAAGAGGATTAAAATTTCCCTAAATGATACAGACCGTTGTTGAGTCAGATGAAGTCGGATTCCTGACTGGTCAGTTGGTCGAAATGCTGTAACAGATATAGAAATATATATAATTTGAATAAAAATTTAAATGACTTTGATATTTGTGAAAAGAGATAAACATTAATTTGTGTTCAGAGACTGGACTGTTTTAAGAGATCTCATGAAGCCATACCATTGTCAGTATGATGAGGTCGTAATCAGACTGTCAGACTACAATCGATTTTACATATTGGCAGAGTGGAATTACACTAATACCGTTATAACATAATACCAGTGTAATTACATACACTACACTGATTAAGTTGGTTGGTTGCTTGTATAGGGTTTAACATCCTATCAACAGCTAAGGTCATTAAAGGATGTTATATACATGATGAATGAACATAATACCAAGAACTACAAGATCATGTACTAAATAGCAGGTGAGAATACAGGTCCATAGACACCATTCAATGACCAACAAAGGATGAATTTTCACTTGATGAAAAAGACAGCTTAAAATACATAGGTATATACAGCTAAATTTGCAGTTGTTATGGGGTTTGCACATTGCTTTTTTTAAAAAGAAAATTAAGGAGGCTCATAGTCCTTAAAGGCTACCAGGGTATAACTGCATCAGCCAAACGGAGCAAAACTTGCTAACTGTAACTTTATATTCCTGCTATTTTCTGGCCAAATATCACGACCCAAGTCTTTGAGGTTCTATCTTGTGAAGACTTTGTTTAAAAATTATAGCATATCTAATCCTTGTGGTCAAGGTCATTTTTCTAACAACTTTGATAGCTACAGGCCAGATGTCGTCAGGAACCTTGGCCTTATTGTCAATGAAATGAAGTCTTTAAAGATTTAGACATATTTGACCCTGTGATTCTGAATGAAATACGAGTGAAAATTGGTGTTATCATAGCAAGAAGCTTCGCAAACTCCATGAGGATGTGCTAATGAAGCCAGTATACTTACACGGCAGTGCTTTGGCGTAGTGTATCTGTACTACGATATGCTTGACTTTCGAAGCTCCTCCCACCTTGAATCCGACATCTGTAGAATACAACAAAACAGAATACACCTAAATATCAAAGTGAAAAATTCACATTTCTATCCTCGATCTGAAAAAAACATTTAACATGCACCTCAGGTCATTGAGCTGGTATAACTTGTATTATTTTCAGTTTACAACTAGTTACAAAATGTACATGAATTTATGCTTTTAACCCAAATAACTGTTAAAATAAAACACAACTACCAATTGAAATTCAAATGAATTTATACACATTGTAGTTTTAGGATCCCTGTCCCACTGCACTGCCATTTTTCCTATACACAGTAACCTCCCCTTAATATCTGTTTGGAAGTACACTTCTGTTGACCAGATAGCCGAATTGGTTTCAGTCAAACTATAGCAAACTGAAGTCCAGGGTTCAAATCCCAGTCTAGCCCCACTTAATTTTTTTATACTCAGAACAGTGTTGTTTATTATATTTTGTTTGTTGAAACCAGTCTAGCCCCACTTTTTTTTTTTTTTTTTTTTTTTTATACCAGAACAGTGTTGTTTATCATATTTTGTTTGTTGAAACCAGTCTAGCCCCACTTTTTTTATACTCAGAACAGTGTTGTTTATTATATTTCGTTTGTTCATATTCATTTATTTTCAAAAAAGTTCCCTGAAGGTATGGTTTTCTTTTCAGAAATGTTTTATCAAGGCTATTAGGCATTCTAGAAAAAACGGTTTCTGAAACATAGTAACAGTTATAAAAATATGCATAGTCATACACATGTAGCTTATGGAATTCTGAAATTTTGAAACAGTAGTAAAGCATCAAGAAAATTAAATTCTAAAATTTCTTTTATTTTTTTTTATCTCTCATAGATTAAGAATATAAACAAAATCAGCTATACATATATATCTGGACACATGTTTTGACATTTGACTGACAGCTCTAGTGAAGTACTGACCTGGGGGAAGAACCAGCTCTGGGGCGTTCCTGGCCCAGGCAAAGAGAATCTGCTCCTCGCCGCGACAGATCATACGACAGCTCCTGTGGGCACAGCACAGGTATTAGGTTATACAAGTGTCAGATTAATTAGGAACATGAATGCTGTGATTATTGACCCTAACTGTTACTAATCCATCTGTCATTTAGTGAGGCATTGTCCGTGACAGCTTATCATTGTAGCCAATAAAACTGAACACCTTCTGGTGGTCAAGACTCACCACACACACAACTGACCAAAGTTTTCCTGAATTATAACCTGTTCCACCATGTTGTCCAATTTTCACCAGAACTTATAGAGTAATAAACCATTTCAATAACCTAAATTTTGACCCTTTTTTGATCCCTATAAACCAAATTTGGTTGAAAAACTGAATATCCTTTTGGGTCACACAGAACATCAACAATGAAATAAGAACATTCTTTAAGTCACAAAAAAGTGTACATCCCTAATGTCACAAACAAATGTGTTTGTACCAAGCTAATAGCTCTTTTACTAAGTCATATGCTATCTTAAAGGACAAACTAGAATGTCGGTTCTTCCTTAGAAATGATAGCCAGAAGATCAGATAGTCACTGAAGAAGATCTCAAAACCAGAAAAAAAAATTATTTTTAAAAATCTCAATTGATAGCTTTTTTACTTGCACTGTACATGTCAGCTTTAAACGTGAATTTAGTATAAAATGTGATGATACACATAAAAATACCCTAGATGTACCTGAAATTAACACATGTTACAATGTGAATACATTAATATTACACATAGCCAACCAAGACCTGAATCTGTACTTACCATGCTCCCTCCTCCTGTGTGTTGAAAGGCTCTGAACACCCAAACAACAGTATATGGTGAGCTGTGTTGGCATTAGCAAGGGGCTCAAACTGGACTGTAGGGATAATAATAAAAAAAAACTACTTGAATATCTTATTCCAATCTCATTGTAATTGAAGAATTTGAACGCAAAACTTGCTGGGTGCTCAAAGTCTGCAATTGATCTTATCAGGAGATTGAAAAGAGTTTGGACCACATTCTTCCTCAAACAGGATATAGTTTCTGCTTTTCAAATTCCTTGATATATATCTTATTATTTACATGTTGCAGGAACTAAAATTCTGATAAAGAGAACTCTACAATGGTCTGAAATGGAAGTGTTTGTGATCTCATTAACAATTTAGACTGAGAATTACCTAATGTCACACATGTAGGCGCAGGTGGAGGCCTTTATAATTAGTATTATTAGTCAATAACAATATTGGAGAAGAGGTTAGGCCAAACAAAATCTGATATCTGTTTGGGGTTTTATTAATTCTGAAAGAAACAAGGACCACTTTCGTTTATTGCGATCCAAACGGTTGAACCAGTTGGCCTAGAGGTGATTGTTAATGAAATAAGGTCGGACCCAGTAAACTGATGCTATTTTCAGGTGAGCTTTAATAAAGCCTTTCAAGGTCTGCAAAAACATTTTGCAAGGATTTCTACCCGAAAATGTTGCATTTAAAAAAGAGACAAACACAAAAATGAACAGGACGAAGAAGGTTTCAATCCATAGTACCCTCCCTTTAGATAATACTTTAGTATAGAAAATGAACAAAGTGTCATAACTCTGTAATTAGAAGGGAATGAGACCTGATTTCAGTTCCATGGCTGTCGGCCATTTCGACAGGCACTCATGTTAAAAAAATTGGCAATTGAAGGTGACAGTATATGAAATATGGCACAGAAAAATAAAAGTGCTGCACTGACTGACATTCTGACCGACGGACTGACCAATGGAGTAAAAATTAAACATGTAGTTTCTCTTGTTAGTACCAGTCGGTGATGAATAAAAGTATATAAGCTAGGTAGGCCGTCAAATGGTTTTCTTTTAATTTTTTTTTTTAACTCTGAGCAAATATCCTGACCTCTGTAGTACCTGTACTTGTCTTAGAATGGGCATAACATTGTAGGGTTGGCATTCAATATTAGGACAGACATTCATATTTATAGAGTAACCCAAATCAGACATTATAACACTTTGTTTTACTTATCAATTGACCATTCTCTGATCAAAATCATTTATTACATTGTTTCACTTATAAAATGACCACTCTCTGATCAAAATCATTTATTACATTGTTTTACTTATCAATTGACCATTCTCTGATCAAAGTCATTTGTTACACAGTAAACTGAGGTGAGAACAGTGACATGGCATGCTGGTCATATATGTCCAGCTTTTTATTTGTACAAAGTGGGTACAAAACTTGTTAATGATAGATAACTGTCTTGTAAAACATGGCCACACTAATCATGCTTATTTCAAATTCTTGATCGTAACATAGACAAATAGCCAGGTGTCCCTATACAAGAACTCCTCTAAGGAACATATACGTTCTTATATATATGTCCTCTGATGCAGAATGGGAACACTATTTATATAATTGTGTGTCATATGGTCTAAATCGTTGTATAAATTACAATATAGCACTCCTGTAATCCTGGCAATGTAGACAGACTAGTTGTCAAATGTTGAGAGGTAACTGTTCATTTTCGAAAAAAACCACCCTTCTTCATGCTCATTGTATAGATTTAGATATACACAAAGATCTATATAACTACAGGTGCAGGTGTGAGCTATTTTTGAGATGTTATAGACTTCCTGTTACACTGTTAATTCACTGTGGGTGTTTTAGTGTCCAAACATGTAAACATTGCAACACAGACGTCATCTAGCCACACGTTTGTCAGACATACATGTATATATACATATATCTATACATTCCTGAATGCCCGATGATCATGGCTCGTAATACCAAAGTTTGGGATGAGGTTGAAGGTAAAGTCAACAGGAAGTTTTCTAAATCACATGCTCTAGGCTATGTAAGTGTGGCGTCTGAAACCCTGAGGTTATGCTGAAGCCATACTACCTCAGGGTTTATGCTCAAGCCAAATTCAGGAATATGATTATATACACATGAACAGCACACAACACGACGAATTCTTGCATGCTATAATTAAGTATAAGGAAACTGTATTGTGTGCGGTGAAATATACCTACATTTGATTATACTTACAATGTTATTATACACCAGAAATCATATGTTATGATTATACACAAATGTTTAGAATGTAGCATCTTGCATAAATAAATCCTGGGAAGACCATTCAGCTGTCACCTCTCAAAATCCATTAGTTCAGTCTACCTTCGATTTATTTAAAAAAAAAATACTCTCAAAAAAGAAAACAGTAGAATATTAATTGATTCCTTGAACTGTACTCTTTTAACAATGATAGCTCTTCTGGATATTTAGCTACAAGAAATTTGTTTGTGTTCCAATAGATGTCAGAACTGTAGGTAGTAGGTCAATTTTCGTTTTTATTTAGGATATTTTGGACTGAGCTGATTGAATCTTACCAATATAGGACTCGTTGACTGGCATTCTGTAACTGGTACAAATATACTGGTCATCCTGAAATATAAAGAAATTAGAAATATAACATTATATATCAATACATGTGTACTTTGGTGATAAAGTAAGAAATTTTATATCTTTTTAGTGAGCATGAGAAAGCTTTAAGTTAAGTACTCTATTAAATGTTTGGAGTTAATTAAGATTTTTCTCCCTTCTCATTCTAGGCATTTAACAAATGTTAGAACATGGAACTGTATTGTTTGATCATCACACAGTGATTTGCACCATTAAAATAAAAATAATTTTTTTGCCTTGACTGATTCCAATATTATGTTTTAAAAGTGCAATTTTCAACTTGATTTGTTAAATATCACTTATTACATACTGTTAATTGCATAATATGTATATTTCAAGTTATGTCTGAAAAATGTCTACAGAAGCACAAACAAATTAAACATGTTTATGAAGGAAATGCAGTGGTGCCTCACATAAAACAATGGAGGAATTTCATTTCAAGTTAACACGAATGGCTATTTTATCTGGACTATATCCAGACTGAGATTCGCATGGCTGCCAACCAGAGTGATATTATATGCTACTGGTGACCCCTTTTCTTGTGTTAAGACGGAGTATCAATACTTACAGGATTATAGCTCTATATAACAATGTCCATTGAATATGTATATGATAGCTACATACAGGTATCACAAAAATACATGTGTATACTATGGTAGTACATATAATAACAAAAGAGAATACAATTTATTTTAAGAAACTCGGCTCAGAAAATTTCTCACAGATTAAACCACAATTTCTTTGGGCAAGTTGCACATACTGTTAGATCTGACAGTCGTTTGTTAGAACCATTTCTCAAACAATTTCATATTTGCCAACTCTCTGTATTTTGAAGGGAGACTTCCAAATTTGAACCCTAAAATTGAGCATTTTCAACCCGTGAATTTGCTTAAATATTCCTACTTTCTAAGATCTGATGATTTCTGACAGAACAGCTCAAAAGATGTAATTTAAAAGCGGTTTTTTTCCCCTAGGGTGTACTTTATTTATGTTTTAATTCGGAGTATACGAAACGTCCCCCATGGAAAATTAAAAAAAAGTTGTCAAGTATATGATATGATATTTATAAAGTGAGGAAAATAATTGTCAATCATGGAAATTAAGTAAACAATTAAGGAAAAGATTTTTGAGACTACCCTTGAGGAGGGATTTTTTTGCATTTAAAGGAAATATTGTCAATACCATTGCCAATTTCACAAACAATATCAAGACAATTTTAATACCATACATAAATAGCTCCGTGACAAATTCTTTTGATTTGATCCCGTAACAATAATTTCTTTGTTTCAAATCACGTCAGTTTTAAAAGTAGGTAAGGTAAAAAGTCATGCTAGTAGTCAGTCATCTATGCTTACATGTGTATAAGTTTTAACAGGGATATTGGTTTATAGCCATTGACATATATGTAATTTTGAAAACAAGGGGCAAAAACTTGACACAGATTTTTTATTTTTACATATCATTACAGTGTACATAGACTTAAACTACTCTCTCAGACAAGCTGAACATTAATTATAGGGGGCAGTACAGGTACAGTGATGTCTGATAGGTAATTATATATCTTATATAATATGCAGACCTTCTCACTGTTACCGGTATAATGAACAACTGTCTGTATGGAAGGACAGTAATTAGTGTACATACATGTACATTATTAATCACACATCACACTCCGACTTATATATTTCACAACTATAACATCAGATCCAGTACAAAACACTACACTACACTTGGCTGGTCGGCTTGTATTTCAGGGATTTCCATTATACTTGTTGACACTAGTACTGTACACGTATTTGTATCAGTTGTGTATATATACCGGTAGAAATTTATTTTTCAAATATAATTTCTTAATTAGATTCAATCTAGTGATTTCTTAGATGAATGAAAAATACATTATCAAAATTTGGAGGACCTACCCTATATGGACTCAAGGCAGGATTTGTAAATTTATAACTTAACAATGGAAGAAATTGGTATGCTATAAACTTTTACTAGTCCTTCTACCCAAGGTAAATTTGTTTGAAGGTTTCGATTTACATTTTAAATAGTTCAGTTTCTGATTTAACTACCAGGATTGAAAGCCAGTGAGTATGCCCTGAAGTCAAAATCAGTCATCTATATAATATAAAGTGTTAATTACATATCATGTAAAAGTCCTCACGGCAAAAGACTTGCATACAACAGTAAATTTACATACATAAATACTAAGTTATTATATATGCAAAACATCTGGTCTAACGTGATCTGTCAAATAATTCTACCTTTTAGTTTCTGACATTGATTTTTTTCCTACTTAATGTACCTATATATACAAGCTGTTACATTGTTAATTTACTGTCATTGTGTATCATAAATAGAACAAGGTCATGTACCTCACCATGCCAAAAATATGTCCCTACTCAAATCCAACATCTGCACATATACATACAATGCATTTGTAATATGTTTTGATTCCCCAAAAGGGGTAATGACTCCTGACTTTGACCAGACATATTTAGATCTTGTTTGTTTTTGTCCCTCCGAATTTCAGGAACAATGTTATGACTTCTGAAATTGCTTAATGTCAAGGGTCAATTGAAAGCCTGCAAATGTAGAGCGAGATAATTATAAGACTGTATCAATGCAAGCTTCAAGGTATGTTGATAACCTACAGGTAATCTAAAGGTGTACAAATGCAAGTATGCTTAGTATGATAAAAAGCTACTTTAATGAATGGATCAAGAACTTGTTTTATCTGGTTCCACATACATCAGCCACTTACCTTATTGACGGAGACATTTTTCATCCGTAAGTCCATCATTGAGTCTACTTTGGAGGGAGCTATGCTCTGAGCTGTAGCGAAAGTCACCAGAGAAAGTACTACCAACATCACACTAGGTAGAGCTGACATGGCGAGGTCCTTTGGTTTATGTATTTTATAAAATTCCACTTCCAAAATATAAACGTGGATTATGAATAAGTTTGAGCACGTTTACGTGTATTACATAACCTACGCTGCTACATTTAGCTTTTCCCTACAGTCATGTGGTGAAGTGGTGCTGTCACACATACACAGGCTAGGGGACACCTACAAATTCTTGTGTCTCCGGGAGCCGTGCCTGAAACGATACAAAATATGGAAATACAGGTAAAGGAATCACACACATTTATATATATATAGTACATATAATTGGGAACAGGTAAAAACTGGGTGTTTATAAATGGCTTGGGTGTTTATAAATGGCTTGGGTGTTTATAAATGGCTAACAGCCTGCACAAGTTAAGTAACCAATCCAGGTAGAAAGAGTATTGTTAAACAAATCAAATTGTGGTCAATTATAACAAATAATATAATCATTTTCACAACCATTTTTTTTTCTTAATACATAACTAGGTGGCTATTAAGATATACAAAAATGTAGAAATACACAATTGAAATTACCATTTCCTATTTCCATGAGCACCACTTAGACAGAAACAGTTATTATTGGTACAAATTTGAAGTGACATTGATTTATGAAGACATCTGGTAATACACATCCGACATACAATTTAATTTCAAGATCCCAAATTACGGAAACAATAATTTGAATTTTCAACCACTGGCTTTTTATGCAACCAGGGCCTAATGTTAGCCATATGGCAAAGTCCAACTAGAGTCATATATCTCAAGTAAATTAAAAGGAGATAAGTCAAGATAGAAAAAACTATAGTGAACTTCTCTAGCATTTCGTCAGCAGTTTGGACAGGGATCCTTATCTATATTAATATTAGAAAGATGCAATGCCTAATAAATTATCACTCCTTACATTTATGTTATCTGTTCCTAAAATTAGAAATATTTTCCAGCTCCTCATATACATGTAAATAACACTGCAGTATTCCTTAAATTTATGAATTTGTTATTATTTTTACTTGCTGTTGTTAGAAATGTTTTGCTATGACCAGTCCATACAGATTTTTCAGTTCAGTCTGAAAATGAAAACAGTACAGACAAACCCCATTGACATAAAAATCAGTGTTCCTATACAATCAATATCTAAGCATTTTCACTTCTTTTCTAAATTGTTTCAAAGCACCTCAATTATCATCACGTAAAAAAACATGAACAATTTAGCTGGTCGTTGTCGGTGATGCTGATCATTACAAGTACAGAACTTTATTAATAAGGACAGATTGCTATACAATTTAAGCTTATATTATTGTACATCTATCCTTATCAATTATATACATAATATATAGCCTGGGATGTATATGTTAGATGGTAGGTGATAATCAAAATCAATTCATGCCAAGCTATACTTTTTTCCTGCAAAAACAAATGAGTATACGTAGGCTGGTGTAAAGCAGATCTAACATCTTCGTGACTCATGCTCAGCTAGGGTAATAAGCGTATATACTGTAATCCCTAATGACCAACTTCTATATATGGTCATTGTCCCCAGCTTAACATGTTCTGTATGGTGTCAAGCTCATATCATATCTTGGGATCAATACCAGTCAAGGTCAAATGATCTCCAAGGATCCATACCAGTCAAGGTCACATGATCTCCAATGATCCATACATGTCCAGGTCATATTATCTCCAAGGATCCATACATGTCAAGGTCACACTATCTCGAGGGATCCATATATGTCAAGGTTACATTATCTCCAAGAATCCATGCATGTCAAGGTCACATGATCACTAAGGATCCATACATGTCAAGGTCACATGATTTCTAGGAGTTGAGTAACGTTACTGAGGTCAAAATAACTGAAATATATTTCTTGTTCCCCATTTGAAAGCATAACATAATTTATACGTATATATAATGTAGTATGACACATCTGTTCACCTTTTTATTTGCACAATTATGATCTGTTTACTATATATATCTACACATAAATCAAATATATATACATGTGTTGATACAAAAAAAGATTGTCATTTTAGTATGTATGCTTTCCTGGAGCTTTATAGCCATATAAAGGTTTTTCACATTAAAATGATCACCAGACCCTTTCAGATGTATATCACATGAATTTACCATGTATTTATAGTATACCGGGGGTATACTGTATATATAATAAACTGGTGTAAAATAAAGTCAGATAAATATTGTACTGTTTTAGACTCATATTAACTTATTGATTTCTATTTTTTTTACAGTGGCATTACTAATCTGATATAAATACCTGTTAAACCATGCAAGTGCTTGTTGCCTGATGACATACAAGATAATGGGATCAAAGGCAAACATATATACAATTATGTATGTCGATAATAAATGTATATTATCAGCTTTTACTATATATGATGTTTGAATATGAAACTCATACATATATTTTGTATAATATAGAAAAGGCTTGTTTTTTTGTCCATCGTTAGACACTTTTTTCTATACTTACCTAACGTTTAATGGGTTTTTTTAATTATTTTTGAATAATGTCACACAGCTGAATAAATATTTAACATTTCATGACATTACTTAACACCTATGGATTGTATCCATCAATTTCATGTTTAAAGATAGACTCCCACTGATTTTGAAATAAATTTCAGTATTTGAAAGCATGTTTTATATAGTTTAAGTAGTACCACAGAACACATAAATAGTGAAGTCATGCACTTTCACCTTAGCTGTCAGGCAATTCAATTTATAAATATTATATATATATCAACAATAATATACATTTATAATAAGATGACACACATGAAATCCTGTTTGTCTGTCCCTGATGTTTTTGTGTATGATGTTGGTGACTATATGTCATATTTGTCTCAAAAAGAGCAGGATGCTCTGAAATTTGACAAGTATGTGTCTGCCCCTACACCTTCTGATTAATGTCTTGTACAATTTTTATAACCATGTAAAAATATAGTTACATGACGCATACAAGGTACATGTTTCAGCATCTACAGTGTACATCTACCAGATTAGTCGTTACTTATGTGCAATTTCAAATATATGAATATTTTTGCAATCATATGCAGATTTCTATATTTTTTATACATGTTCATGTATATCTTTAATTTATAAAAAATATGCATACTGTAGGAAGAAATTTGTATTTTTTTGATAAGCTGGTGAATGTTGTTATAGGTCTCTAATGCTTGGTCGAGGAGTTTCACCCGACATGTAACAGCTGCAGTGAATTACTCAATTTTCATTAAAACCTATTCTACATGGTTATATAAATATATTCTGTTGGTTTTAAACTCTTATTATAGAATTATGTATATCATATAATTGTTCTCAGTAGCTGAATTAGTATTAACCTCTTGCTCATTATTCAGTAATATTTTACTGTACTGGAAAGATAAAACGTTCATGTGTATTTTCCCAAAGTATCAGAGAAGAAAGAATAGAAACCTGCATGTGATCAAGTTTTCAAAACTTTTCAAAAAATTAAAATGATCCTAATATAAATGTTGACTCTAAAATTCTGAATCGAAAAAAAACACCAAAAAAAACCATTGTAAATAAATAAAAAGACTACGCAATATACAAATATAAAGATAGTACTAATATTAATACCCGGCCCCCTCTGCCCTGACTGGGTATTAAATATATCTCATGCCTTGTCATGGAGCAAGCCCTGTGAGAATCGACACACCCGCCACGCGATTTTAGAATTAATTGACAGCCCATTGGTTTGCATTTATAAACAAGAATGTAGTATGAACTATTCTGTTGATATCCTGTATAACTTGAAGTTAACTCTGCCTTATATGTCGTTAAATTATCAAGTTAACGTAGCAAGCGCAATCAATATCTGAATGTCGAAAAGTTTGTCTCTCTCAAATATACAATGTAGGTCGCACAGCTATATATATATGGGTGTCATGATCATGACCCAATATGGAAATTGCAGTAAACATGGCGACATCAGTAGTAATACTATATTTGGCCATGAAGGCCATATATATAAAAAGGATAATTGAGATAACATCATGTGTGATCTGTCATGGCAATCGTTTCTTTTTTTCCCCCAAGAAGGACTTGGCTAATGAAAGAGTTTTTTTCATTGGTAAGGTTTTGTTTTTTTCAACAATTATGCAATATTTTGATAACATTATACTCAAATGCGGCATGAATTATATGTAATCTTACAGATAAGCACTTTTGATTTTGCTCTATTAGTTGGCACAGGACCGCTTCATAAATCTGACAACACAATATATATAAAAACAATATCTCGCCTTCAGAAAGCTACGTTATCGCAGCTAGTGTGTGTACTAACTTGTTCAATGTTACATTTGCATTTGTATATAAAAGAGAGCAACTCATACTCACATAGCTTGAATTGCACCTTGTCTGTAATTCAGCCTCATTATATTATATATATCAACCCTGTTACTATCAGACTATTACAGCTTTAGTATAAAATTACATGGCATACCATGATGCCTTATGCAACTCAAATTGTAGATGACTGTATAACAAAAATATGAATCAATTGACACCATCATAGTGACTATAAGAGGAGGTTGTAAAAAATGGGGATCACCTATTGTTATCAATTGCAATAATACCCATGACAAATACAGTACAACTCCTAACAATAATGCAATTGAAATTTTTCAATAAATATATATTGAAATCAAAATCCTGTAGTAATCAATCTGGTGTAATCAGTCATTAATTGGGGCAATGATAATAATGTTAAAGTGTGTCTTGTTGACCTGTTGCTCATCATTGGCCTTGTTGAGATCAATTTGTTTTTATAAAAGCAACTTATGATGCCAACACTAAGCACTTGCATTGGTTAATGTAATCTTTATAGTAATTACAGATACATATATTCCATTCCCTACAACTTAGATGGCACCTCGACCATATCTGTGGCGCGATCCAGATGAACTAAGATACATGTTTATGTTACCACGCGCCTGAATTACGTGACAATGAGAATGTAGACCAATCTTATAATCAGATTTTATCTAAAAGTTAAACCAACCAGCTGGCCCTTCGCACACGTTTTCTTAAAGGATTGACGACCATAAAGTGTAATGTAAGTGTTACTGCTGTATTTACCCAGAACAAGGAAAGCAGCGATCCATTTCTTTCTAACCACGGTACAGTCTGTACATAGATTACATTTCTTCCATGGTCTTAATCTTGTCGTCAATTGTCAATAATCAACTTCGTTTCCGGTTACTGTCGATTTCTGATAAGGGAGATAACTCTAACCCGGAAGTGAGAAACGAGGTTGCATTAAAATGTTTACGGCGTGTTAAAAAGTGAGTGAGCTAGATCAACGTTTCTTGGTAGATTCATGCCATGGCATTTATATAAAGATAACAAGCAATATGGTTTCATAATATAGCCACAATAACAGTAACTATACAGTTTGTTCCTTACTTAGCGTGGTATGGAACTGCATTAGTTAGTTTCACTCGGTGACACATTATTGAGTCCTCTGGTTAGTGTATATTGAACGAATATGTTACCAGCGATTTTGATTTGCTGTAATCATAAATGAAGATGACATCCATGGCAAAGTTACAGAAAACTTGAATAGCTAGCTACTATAGTCTATACTAAAGACAGAAACATCTGAAGACAATGCGTTAGAAAGAATAAACCAATGAATATTTATATTTCATCTTCCCTCGTGTCTTGCAACGGATGTATATAAGGTCTGTTTCTGTAGTATCTGTATAAATCCTCCAGGAGGCAAATAGCTGTAGAACTTGATCCAATATATGAAAGAAGCAGATATTTCTAAATGTCTGTACTTTTGACTATTTTGTACTTAGGGAGGAGAATTTTTTTTTGAAAAAAAGTATTTCAGTTGCTCGATCGTTAAAATGCACAACGGGTTTTTGTTTGTATGTAATGCGCATCAGTAAATACATGTCAGTACGTGTTATCTGAAGTTCGTCATATGAACTTTGAAGTACTTAACTGGTGCGTTACAAAATGGCAATACTTGAGTTTCTTACATAGGTAATAATCACATAATAAAATATTTATCCTACATGTACCACCTTTTTAAATGGGAAACATAATAATTGAGCTGTTTTTCAACCCGAAAATACATCACGATGCATACATTCAAGTGTTCTGTCTTTAAATTTTCCCTTTATTGGATAATATTTTAGTTTTGTTATAGATGTCTAAACGTTCCGAAATTAAAAATTTCCGTTTGACTCATAAAGTCTTCATCGAGATATTGCCGAATGGTACTGATGTTATGAAAATTATCAAAAGTGAACCTTGATGTTAATTGTATGAATTATTCTTAAAATCTTGAGTACACTCTGCACGTTTATAGCGTAAGGAAACTTCAGTTATCGCCATTTCTAGCCGAGAAATGATTTGTTTTTTAGTCGTTGACGTAGCCTAGTGATGCCTTATCTAGTCGTCGGGACCTGGACCTTTTCCAAGGCTGCTGTTGCTACAGCCGCACACTGTTTACAACAGAACCTGTCTTGTACGGATGCTATTGAGAAGGGGATCAACCGTTCGTATACGTATTTCTTAGATTGAACATATCTTTCTTTTTTTAAATCATATGAAATACTCCGATGTAAGTGATTCTATTGTTGTTTTGTTTGTAAACGCAGTATTATTTACTTGCCTTACCTATCAACAGTAAGTTAATTACCACGATAATGAGACATAGATTGTAAGAATTGGTGAAAATTTGGTTATTTAAAAAAACGGTCGTGTAACGTTTGGTAGACTATACGTACATGGCAACAGAAATATTCTATAAACTCACATAGAACCTTGCATTAAGGGAGACTTACCTTTACAAGGAAAATGAACTTATTCCCAATAAAGCACTCGTAGATTTTAGAATTGCGCGACACAATATAATTTTCTAAAATTGTTTTCCTCACGGTGTATATTTCTGTACGTTTTCCAAAGTTTCCGTAATGAATAAATCACAAAACTTCCAGTTCAAAAGTTCTCCGGACAATGGGTCATTCGTTCTTCCTTGTGCACGTAAGATATGGTATGGTCCCCGTGGCTAAACTGTCGGTACACAGTGTGGGGAAACCGGATAAATAAATCGAACGCGTCACTAATCGATGACTGATCGGTTCTGTTGTAACAGCTCCGGGCTGACAACTGTAAACCTGACCTATGTACGTGTATATGTACGCCGGAACCGTCACAGGTTCGCCGGGTCTGTCACTGTCCACCCTTCCCGGTCCGAGTGTCCGCGTGTACCCCATCCATCAAACTGACCAGTGGGGTAAATCTTAGTGAGGAGACCTAATAGACCACGACTCTAAACATGATAGAGAGAGTAGTATCGACATCCGACGGGGCTGTTTGATTGCTGATACATCTCTAGATCTCCACGTCAATATTTGTCGCACCTGTTGAAGAACGTCATGAAAATGTTACACAGATGTAGTGGCGGGTACATATATATATATGGGGCGCTGTTAACTGTTTATTCCATATTTTCTAATATAAAAAACGTATAAAACAAAATCGATTTTCTGAGATCACAAAGGTGGTAGGGTCAATTTCTATGGAGATTTAACATTAGCGTCGGCCCCCGCTTGGAATTTCAAAATAAGTTAACTCCAAAAAGGTTTGGGTATATGAAGCTCATATCAGGAACAGTTAGTTTCAGAATTCATTTTATGATAAATGGGACTTCATTGACTTATGTGTTTAAGGTGCGGTAATACAATTCCTCCTAGAGCATTTAAATGACACAATTACTATAAAATTATATCAACATCGTGTGCAACATATTCCAACTATTATTTTGATACCGAATATTACACTTTTTCAAGAAAGAATTGTTCTTTTTATTGAAGATTTAAGCAGAAAAGTAAGTGAAATTTCATTTGTAATGAAAAACAATCCTTTTCTTACACGTTAATTTACATAGTTCTAAAACGAGTCTATGTTTCATACTTGCTTAAAATTTGGCTACTAATGATATCTATCAGGAATTTCAAAAAAAAATGACAACCGGTAAATTTGTCATTAAGAACTTTTGTTTCAAAAAAAGAAAAACATTGCTTTTTTTTTCCACTTTTCCTTTAACTTTTGTTTCTTTCACGACCAAAGGTCCTTGGATCTTGATATTTGTCAAGTAGGTTGTTCATGCGAATGGATTTAAGATTTGTAAACCTTGATGACCTTTGACCTTCGTTCAGGGTCACAAAAATCAATATATTTTTTTGTATGGGGAGTCATACAAGGATACCTTGCTTTATTTGTTTAGAGTTCACGATATAAAATAATGTAATATTCCTTCATATTTTGTTTAATGAATAGGCAATAGACAAAACAAAATAATAACTAGAACTGTAAGACAAAGGCTAACTAATACCCCCTCTCCTATATAAACCAGAACTGTAAGCTAATTGGCTAACTAAGGCAAAGCATTACAAAGCAATTCATACTGTAATCTCCCACCAGTAATTATTTAGAATACATTTTACTGATATACTTCCTCCATGTCAAAACATACTTGTATACCAAATCTTGCTAGCCCAGATGAACCAGTTTTGCTGAAATCGTCCTAGTAGTTAAGGAAGAGTTGTCAAGACAAATATTTTTAACAAAGGGACATAACTCCTTAAAAAGGGTCTAAATGAAAAACATACCATCCTTATGACGGCATCAGTGGGTTATTACCACATCTGTAAACTTTCATTGAAATCGGCCAAGTACATGTAGTTTATGGGGCAGACAAAGTTTTTTTCACGAAAAGCCATAACTCCTTTTTAAAGAATCAGAATGAAAACATACTACTTGGATGCACAATTTCAGGGGTCGGTTACCATATCAATAAACGTTCGCTGAAATTGACCCCTTAGTTTTGGAGGACATGTCCAGACAAGGATTTTCAACAAAGGGCCATAACTTTGTAAAAACAAATGGCAGAATGAAACAATAATAACTGCATGCACAATTTCAGGTGGTAGCTAGTGTTACTACCATATCTGGAAGCTTTCGTTGAAATTGGTCCATTTCTTCAGAAGGAGTGGTCCGGACAAACTCAGGGCAAGCTGATTCCAGTATACCCCCCAAACGAAGTGGGTTTTTTCGGGGGGCGGGTATAATAAAGTGTATACTAGTTTTACTATTAAGATTATTTTATTGTTTTTTATTAAATTGCATATCTTTGTCTATAACACAATCTCAGCCTTAAGTATTTCTCCAGAGGAAAGATTACTTTGGCAGAATACATATAAAAAGATAATATGTGTCGGTATTTACCACAATAAACATTGATAATCAAATCTATATGATTGTGTGAAATTGGGCATTAATTAGGCATGCTAAAAATTAAAGTACTATATATATTCATACGGTTCTAATATATCATAATATTGATTCTGTAGACAGAATATTAATATGGAAAGTTTTTAAAGAAGTTTAAAATATAGACTACCATTGTAACTATATATAGGCAAGTTGACAATGTTGGTTATATTATACATCTTGTGAACATTTTGCATGTTTTTCTATTTAAAAGTATCACTACGCTTACTTTATGAACACCAATATGACATATTTAGTATCAAAATAACAGTAATTTTATACACTATATATAATAAATAATGATAATAATAATTGGAGGTTCTTATATACCGCTTTATCACAACCTAGTTCGTAGGTCGTCTCAAAGCGGTTCACAACTTATTAGCCGTGGTTATATGGCCTTTGCAACCAGCCAACATCTTTCTCAACTCCCTGGAGGGCATACAGCCGGTGCTGCCATTTCGGCGCTCACATGTAACATTCGACAATTCTAGCACTACCCAACCACGTACTCATTTACAGCTGAGTAGACTGGAACAAGCGGAGTAAAGTATATTGCTCAAAGATACAACACAGTGCCGTGCCGTGGCTCGAACCCGCAACCCTTTGGTCCACATTCGCCTGTGACATTTATCTGTCATTTTGTTAGGATACCCCCGTCACTCAACCTGGTGTTATGCAAGGTGGTCCACTACGGTTATCAGTAGTAATTATGGATAATCATTTATGCAGCCGTTGATCATTTTTATGTATTTACATATCGCAAAATAATAAAAGAAATCGAAGTGGGGGCCAAATGTTGACCCCACCTTTCGATTTTATGGTATCAAAAAAATCACTTATTTTCTGATATCAAAAAATGGGTTGTCAATGTTTGATAATCATATAAAAAATAAATCTGATATTAGAACATCTTTAGGAATATACAGTAAAACAGCACCCAAAGGTTCAGGGTTGTTAGGATGCTAAGTCTTCTTGGAGTTCAGGAACGCGAATCAAACCAAACCCAATATTCCCTAGCTATGTTATTCCCCGAGTAACAGCCCCCTTCACCCCACCTCCATCCATACACACATTCCCCAAGCTGAAGTGAAACGAGCAAAGGAAGTTCAGTTATCTTGAACATTCGATAAGCGATGGAGTGGATACCAATATTTGAGATGTTATTGCTACACCTATAAGGATTACTTAGAGGGCCTCCTGCAGTGTTGTACTAGATGGCATGGATGACCCATTCCAGAGTAATCAATTACATTAGCTATGGCTGACCACGTGAACGTACATATGTACTTACTTTTGTCACATTGGTCAAAGTGGTCAGTATAGGGAGTGGAAGGTGACCTCACCTCCAAGTTATTTATTTTTGCCACATATGACCAGGTCAATCAACCATGCGATCGTTATGCACATGATTGGCACTCTGAATTGCATGTCGGTATGTACATGTTCCCATGGTAAACAAACACCTGTACTAGTTCTCCCCACGTAAACACCTGTACGAGTTCTCCCCACGTAAACACCTGTACGAGTTCTCCCCACGTAAACACCTGTACTAGCTCTCCCTACGTAAACACCTGGCGTATAGGTCTCGCCACGTAAACACGGTCGATGTTAACTTCTTACCCTGAGGTTAACTAGTATAATTATGCTTGAGTGGTTTTACGTCCTGTTTACTAAACACCTGTACTAGTTCTTCCCACCTAAACACCTGTACTAGTTCTCCCCACTTAAACACCTGTAGTATAGTTCTTACCACGTAAACACCTGTACTAGCCCTCCTAACGTTAACCCCTGTAGTATAGTTCTTCCCACGTAAACACCTGGACTAGTTCTCCCCACGTAAACACCTATATTAGTTCTCCCCTCGTAAACTCCTGTAGTATAGTTCTCTCCATGTAAACACCTGTACTAGCCCTCCTAACGTAAACAACCGTAGTATAGTTCTCCCCACGTAAACACCTGGACTAGTTCTCCCCACGTAAACACCTGGAGTATAGTTCTCCCCACGTAAACACCTTTACTAGCCCTCCTAACGTAAACACCTTTAGTATAGTTCTCGCCACGTAAACACGTTCGATGTTAACTTCTTACCCTGAGGTTAACTAGTATAATTATGCTTGAGTGGTTTTACGTCCTGTTTACTAAACACCTGTACTAGTTCTTCCCACCTAAACACCTGTACTAGTTCTCCCCACGTAAGCACCTGTAGTATAGTTCTCCCCAATAGGGAGTGGAAGGTGACCTCACCTCCAAGTTATTTATTTTGGCCACATATGACCAGGTCAATCAACCATGCGATCGTTATGCACCTGATTGGCACTCTGAATTGCATGTCGGTATGTACATGTTCCCATGGTAAACAACCACCTGTACTAGTTCTCCCCACGTAAACACGTCCGATGTTAACTTCTTACCCTGAGGTTAACTAGTATAATTATGCTTGAGTGGTTTTACGTCCTGTTTACTAAACACCTGTACTAGTTCTTCCCACGTAAACACCTGTACTAGTTCTTCCCACGTAAACACCTGTACTAGCATATGACCAGGTCAATCAACCATGCGATCGTTATGCACCTGATTGGCACTCTGAATTGCATGTCGGTATGTACATGTTCCCATGGTAAACAAACACCTGTACTAGCCCTCCTAACGTTAACCCCTGTAGTATAGTTCTTCCCACGTAAACACATGTACTAGCCCTCCTAACGAAAACACCTGTAGTATAGTTCTCCCCCCGTAAACACCTGTAGTATAGTTCTCTCCATGTAAACACCTGTACTAGCCCTCCTAACGTTAACACCTGTAGTATAGTTCTCCCCAATAGGGAGTGGAAGGTGACCTCACCTCCAAGTTATTTATTTTGGCCACATAGGACCAGGTCAATCAACCATGCGATCGTTATGCACATGATTGGCCCTCTGAATTGCATGTCGGTATGTACATGTTCCCATGGTAAACAAACACCTGTACTAGTTCTCCCCACATAAACACCTGTACTAGTTCTCCCCACTTAAACACCTGTAGTATAGTTCTTACCACGTAAACACCTGTACTAGCCCTCCACACGTAAACACCTGTAGTATAGTTCTGCCCACTCGGGAGTGGAAGGTGACCTCACCTCCAAGTTATTTATTTTGGCCACATATGACCAGGTCAATCAACCATGCGATCGTTATGCACCTGATTGGCACTCTGAATTGCATGTCGGTATGTACATGTTCCCATGGTAAACAACCACCTGTACTAGTTCTCCCCACGTAACCACCTGTAGTATAGTTCTCCCCACGTAAACACCTTTACTAGCCCTCCTAACGTAAACACCTGTAGGATAGTTCTCGCCACGTAAACACCTGTACTAGCCCTCCCAACGTAAACACCTGTAGTATAGTTCGTCCCACGTAAACACCTGTACTAGTTCTTCCCACGTAAACACCTGTACTAGCCCTCCACACGTAAACACCTGTAGTATAGTTCTCGCCACGTAAACATGTAGTATAGTTCTCCCCACGTAAACACATGTAGTATAGTTCTCCCCACGTAAACACATGTACTAGCTCTCCCCACGTAAACACCTGTACTAGTTCTCCCCACTTAAACACCTGTAGTATAGTTCTTACCACGTAAACACCTGTACTAGCCCTCCTAACGTTAACACCTGTAGTATAGTTCTCCCCACGTAAACACCTGTAGTATAGTTCTCCTCATGTCAACACCTGTACTAGCCCTCCTAACGTAAACACCTGTAGTATAGTTCTCGCCACGTAAACACCTGTACTAGCTCTCCACACGTAAACACCTGTAGTATAGTTCTCGCCACGTAAACACCTGTACTAGCTCTCCACACGTAAACCCCTGTAGTATAGTTCTCGCCACGTAAACACCTGTACTAGCTCTCCCTACGTAAACACCTGTAGTATAGTTCTCGCCACGTAAACACGTTCGATGTTAACTTCTTACCCTGAGGTTAACTAGTATAATTATGCTTGAGTGGTTTTACGTCCTGTTTACTACAGAGAAATTCGGTTATCCCGCAGGCTAAGACTAGATTTGTGTAGTGTTCTATACTTCGCAGCATAAACATGATAAACCTAATTGAGCCTACATAAACAGCTGTTGGATAATAAAATATAGTGTCATCTATGTCGGCTGGTTAAGGTCACTTTTGCCTTTTGTCTTTGTCTATTTTCTTAAACAGTACTTTGTCGCCTAAACAAAGCGAAAAAGCACCGTTCTGTTTTTCTTAAAAAGTGTTTTGTCGCCATAACAAAGCAAAATGACGCCGTTTTATTTTATTAAATAGTACTTTGTCACAGTAACAAAGCGAAAACGAACATATCAAGCGCCATTTTGGAAAATAGAAACGGCGACAAAGCAAAAAGGCGAAACAATAAATGTTGCCCTACTCGCCCACCATGCATAGCTATCTCACTACCGGTTCCCACCATTGACACGGTAAAATATGACATCTCACCTAGTGCGTTATCACATTATTATCTCGTTATTTAATGTCAAGACGCGGATTCATGATTGATTGAAGTGTTTTGATGGCAATACCCTGTAGCCGAGGGCATGCAATCGCCCGTTTCGTCAAAGAGCGCAATATTTGTCGCCTGTTATGACAATACAACAACGTTTGTTGCTAAAAAGCAAAACATGCTGTTGTTGACCTGTAATCGGAAGGCTTGCACGTTCATTAAGGAGTCCTGAAGAACAGACGAAAGGCAATCCACCCATCCCACTGGGGCTTACCTATGAGCCATGACGACACGTGATAATTAAAACGGCACGACAATTATTGAAAATAACGTATATAAATCACCCAATTGGGATAGTTGGGATATCTCTTTTCCGATCTATCTATATTTGTATTTCTATTCTTGATATTTATACTTCGTAACGCCCTCCTTGGCATTATTTCACTTCCGGCTCTTCATCTTCATACAGCTGATGTCCTCCATTAAATGCTGATGATTATGATAATGGTTGTTTTGAGTGAGGACTGTGTAACATGTCAGTGACTGAGCCGATGTAATGTTATTGTTGTTGACGTAATGTGTTACTCTAAGTTTGGTCTTATACTGGACTTTTATGTGTGCTAGTTTGCTCACGTACATGGGTAAGGCACTACAATTGGTTCCATCCCAAGTCCTGGAACCTACCAAAGCCCTACAAGTGGCCGTTGTTATTCCCTGCTTAATACGCAGCATTTGGGATAAGTGCAACGTATGTTTTCCTGTTGTCAGTACAATGTCATACAAAGTGGAATGCCGTGCTAAATGCCTGCGGATGGTATTTCAATGAGGTAGCACTCTAAAGTCGGCATCAGATCTGCGCCATCGTAAGGAGGCAAATTAACTAACGCATCGCCTCCAGCACTTACAAGCAAGCACGCATACAATTTACACGAGGAGGTCAAAAGTACGCTTAAACATATAAACCAAAAACCGAATCAAACACTTAATTTTTCGATTGTTACGCATTGTCATCAACATTTCATAACACTTTTGGTCACAACATTTTCGAACAATTGCAGAAATTGAAGAGGACGAGAGTTATGGCCCCTGTGTTGTGGGAGTGGGCGGATACAGGAATGCGGCTGGTTTTCTGGAACTGGATGCTGCTTTGATGGAGGGGCGGGGACTGCGCATGCGTTTTGGGGCTGTGACCGCGTTACAAGGGTAACTATTTTTTTCTGTGTCTATTCAAGCATTATGTGGTTGTATTGACAGATATAACACTGTACATGTGTTGATACAGATGGCAACATTGTAATCTAGCGATTTTAACTGATTGGCTTACATTTTTGAAGTTTATGAGCATATAATATATTGTTGTACTTTCCGAATATGTAAAACATTTTTGAAATTTATGAGCATGTAATAAAACATTGATGAAATTTACGAATATGTGAAACATTGTTAAAATTTACGGATAGTCGAAACATTGTTGAAATATACCATTTGTTGCAAAATTTGTGAGTGCATAATACATTGTTGAAATTAATGGTATATTATACATTCTTGAAATATTTGAGAATAAAAGTTAAACATCAATGAAGGTTGACGGTATACAATGCCATGTTGACTCGTGTGTCGTTATACTGCATTGCTACCATTTGTCGATACTAACATTGTACTCCGAAGATGGGACCGGTATAACAAACCAATTTGTATCTGGAGTTTAACGAATCAGTTTGTTTGCCTGTTTGCCGAGACTAAGATAACCCGATCTTGCACAGTTACATTTTTTTTTTATCTCGCACTTTTTAGTTAGAAAAAAACTATTCAATTTTGCTAAAAACTACAAGTATCCCGCCTTGGGCCTCAAATGACAATGACCTCTTCACTACTTAAGCTACATTTGAACGCTTCCGGATAAAAATGTAGTCTGTCCTTATATAGATGACAACGTATTTCAAAGTGTAGATTATATTTTATCTACAGCATCAAATATCAAACAACACCAAAACTATACATATAACGACTAAACAGAACATTTATAATGCAAATTGTCAATTTCAAGCAGTTAACGCGCGGATGAATACATTGCAGTGTAAAAACTCCGCAAAATGTCTCGTAAAGGTACAAGACAGATCGGACGAGATAGAAAAATCTAGCATGGGATATGACGTGGGATATCTCTGTCTGAGGTGCGAGCAAATTTGTATCTGGGGTATAACGAATCAGTTTGTTTGTCTGGAGGTGTTATGACGAGCCTACCAAATCATTTTGTTTGTCTGGAGGTGTTATGACGAATATAACGAATCAGTGTGTTTGTCTGGAGGTGTTATGACGAATATAACGAATCAGTTTGTTTGTCTGGAGGTGTTATGACGAGCCTAACAAATCAGTTTGTTTGTCTGGAGGTGTTATGACGAATATAACGAATCAGTGTGTTTGTCTGGAGGTGTTATGACCAATATAACGAATCAGTTTGTTTGTCCGGAGGAGTTATGACAAATATAACGAATCAGTTTGTTTGTCCGGAGTTGTTATGACGAGCCTAACAAATCATTTTGTTTGTCTGGAAGTGTTATGACGAATATAACGAATCATTGTGTTTGTCTGGAGGTGTTATGACGAAGATAACGAATCAGTTTGTTTGTCTGGAGGTGTTATGACGAGCCTAACGAATCAGTTTGTTTGTCTGGAGGAGTTATGACAAATATAACGAATCAGTTTGTTTGTCCGGAGTTGTTATGACTAGAAAAACGAACCAGTTTGTGTTATAATGAGTTCCAGAGTTGTTATGACGAAAAAACACACCAGTTTGTGTCAGTTTGTATATCTGGAATTGTTATCACGTGCACACAGTACATACGTAACACTCCAGGTTGCGTTAGACTCCCTATCTAGAGCTGTTATCAAAAGTATAACAGACGAGTTTTTGTCAGACAGCGGAGTTGTAAATTTGTTTGTATTATGGCCGTAAAAATGGAACTTAAACATACAATATTACACAAGTAACAACACACATCTACAGGTATCTGTAAAAATACATCCTCGATATCCAGGGGTTACGCTCACGTTCGCTCTCTACACCCCTGGAATATGTCATAGCACACAATTGAAGGCACGAAGATAGCTGTTTAATTGGTCTCAGGTAAAAACAACTGACCAATCGCTAGACTGTGAAAGTGAGCGTAACCCTTGGATATCGAGGATGGTAAAAGTACAACTGACTGGTATGTCAGAAAACGATTAAACAATCTCCTAAGACATTAACAACAAGCTAAGCAATGGATACGACTAATATAGTCTTGTGTTCTCGTCACCGATTTTGTCCCCTCTGTCGTCGTCCCAAAGGAATGGTACCGCTCTGTCTCGAAATACAACGACTGCTTACATATATATGCGACATAGACAATATGTCATGCCATTAGTCTTTTTTTCTAAGGACACGTTCAATGTATTATTTACGTTCACCCTACCGTACATATATGAGATACTACTATATACCACATAATATCATGTCATCGACTTTTATTTACAATAATAACATGAATCTTGGGTAATTTAAAAACACCAAATATGTAATGATTATTTCTGCTGTTTATCCTCAATTGTTTGTTACTCCCTCATTTCGGGCGTCCATGTCTGTTGTGTATGGACTATGCTTTACGGCAAGTTCATTTAACATTTCATGTCCCAAAAAGGGTCACACAAATATTAGCAATATCTTAAAATGAAATACGGATATCTTTACATATGTAATTAAATAGAACTAATAAAACTGGAGATATCTTTAAAGAAACAGATATATCTCTAAACGGATATTTCTCTTACTGAATGTAAAGGAAATATTTCATACAAATAATATGTACAATAAGTAGTTTATTAGATATCTTCTGAATTATATGCATGATACATCGAATATACTTTTAGGTATTAAGTGGTTGCATTACCCCCTAACGAAGTGGAGGACATGCTGTTTTTGCTACGGTTTTTATTCTTCTTTAATCTTTTTCTGCTTCTTATTATTTTTCTTCCGCTAAACGGACATTTTTAAAGAAACTACTCACGGGCAGTTGCCTCTTAAACTTCACACGGGCATTGGTTGTTTTATTTGCCGATAGGTTATCAAACTTGGTCGCGTTGGCCTCTTATCGATAAGCACATTTATAGGTGTTCGCCAAGGTGATGCCCCTGGTCCCACTCTTTAACTGATTTTGCTCAAACTTCGCATACAAATGCATTATGGCATTGCAAATTCTTTCCAATGCATGCTTTGCGACTACAGGGGCAGTTTGGGGGACTTTTGTAACAGTCCTCATTTTTATGACATTGTTTTACCAAAAGACAATCTTTCTGTAGGGTTCCACGTGCTGTCTCAGTGGCGAGAGCTGTAATGGAAAACTGTTCTCACAACATGCTTACCGGAAGTGGTGCCACTGCGTTTGCGAAGGAACAAGGCTTCACCATAGACGAAAAGCTACTGACTGCCAAGACGAACTACGTATGTTTCAAGAGATATTACACAAGCTATTAACGGCTGAAATCAAATTCATTTGCAATTACATATGCATTTCGTGCAATATTTACCGACATGAAGCAAATATGAAAAACATGCACTTTCCTAGTATCAGAAAAAAATATGGCAACGCATGTGTGTTTTGGCATCAGTTTCACGGTTTCACCGAAGAACTTTTCCTGTTTCACGTACCAAAACTACACTTACTGCTTCACGTACCAATCTCAATATACTGGGTTATATACAGACTAAACTTTTAAAGTTAAAAAGTTTACGTAATTCGGTTTCAGGTGGAACCGCTTACTCCTGGTCACGACACACTTGGTGTAATAGCATTAGACGACCAGGGTAACATCTGTACAGGCAAGTAGAGTTTACTAATTCCTTTTAGAATTTTTATTTATTTAAAGGTGGACATACTGTTCAATGCTAGATAACATTTCAAAAAGATGTGAAATAGGTTATTATTTATATACAAATGATGGTGCTGTGTTAACAACGTGAGCTTATATATATTTTCAACCTCAGATCAAGACACTGAATGTGCATTAAATGGTCCCTAGCAACACTGTTGTATAATCTGAAGAAATACATAATGTTTTATTCCATGTGTCAGTGTGCATGTTAGGTAATGGTACGGCATTCTGCTACATTCCAGGGGTTTCAACAAGTGGAAGCGGAAACAAACATTCCGGAAGAGTGGGAGACAGTGCACTTCCTGGAAACGGACTATATACAGGTAAAGTAATATATATATACCATTCTGGGAATAGGCTTGAAACAGGTACAGTGTGATATTGTATTCTGCGATAATCTTTACTTTATGGAAAAGGACTATAACAGTTAGTTTACTGTGGTATAGAGAGATAATTCTTCTCTAATATACAGCTGTAGTTACACACAATGTTAGGGGTACAATATTTTCACAATTAGTTTTAGAAATAATTTATTTCGAATATCCTTTCGCCCAATATTCTTCTGACGTATAAACAGTACCACAATTCTATTTTAATTTGAAAAATACACCATACAGGACCACATATGGGAACACCTGTAGAGCTTATTTCATAGGATGACAGACATATCATTTACAATGAAAAATATTTTGTAGCACAAATGTTTTGATGCATCTAATGAATTTAAAAATAATTGTAAAAAAAAAAGAAAACATTTGGGAAAAGAATACCGCGCAATTTACTTTTTGTGTCACGGTAAATATTTTTTTCACCATTCATTTGATAAATACATATTAAAATATGTGTATTTTAATTGACAAAGTAAAATATTGCTTGTGATCCTCTTTGACAGACCCTGAGGTCGGGGCGGCTTGCTGTAGTGGTGACGGGGACCAGATCATGTTGTTCTGTCCCGGTTTCAGGGTTGTTCACCTTATGAAAGAGGTCGGTATATAGAATGTGAACATTTCATAAATCATTCATTAGAGGGAAAGTGCTATTTAAAATAAAAATGATCAAGTGCTAATTGTAATGGCGCCGTTACACCAATCCCCCAAATTGTCCAGTATTCACAAATGATGCATTGGAAAGAATTTGAAATGCCATAATACTCTGACATACTAAGATGGAACCTCAGACAAAGAGAGAGACCGTTGGCATCTCCTTGGCGTATATCTGTATTTGTTTTCAATCAGTCATAGGCCACTGCGGGAATGTTTTTCAAAACGCGTTACTACATATGTCCAACAGTCTTCCAGTGGTTTTCGTGAAAAAGTTGGGAAACAGTTTGGCGGAAAAAAAGAAGAGAATACTGATAGCAAAAGAAAGAAAAAAACCCGTTTCACTTTGGAAACTTAATTACTGACATTTTGGTTTATATTCAAGTAAATCTGCAATTGAAAATCAAACTTATTTCGACCAAAACATTTCACAGAACGGGATATATCGTTCATTGTCGTTATAAAAAGTTCAAAATAAGCCCGGGTTCTCAACTGTTTAGGCTGACAGCATCTTTGTTTTGTTGAAACCACAATGTCATGGATAGTTTAAAAGTAAAATAAAGTTACTCTATTTCAATATTAAGTCTTGAAACAATATATCTTTCGAGCTGAATTTCTATATTTTAAAAATAAAATAAAACGAATACTTTCAACACAAGATGGCTTATTAAATCCATGCTAATTGTTCATTGATATTTCAATTTTATGATTCCTATGCAACTCTTTGATAAGCCGAAGATTGGAATTTGATTGGTATTGCTGTACTTTGTTTCGTGCATTTTTTTATAGAGCGCCTGGACTATTAACGCTGTTCAAGCAGTGGAGATTTTTTTACACGTGTACACTAAATATTTTAAAGTTTCTCTCTGTATTTGATTATAACACCAGTACTGCAAACTGAGCCAGCATAACGTCTACATGAAATACCACAACATGACGTCAAAATATGACGGATCAGGAAATGGGCCAAGTGTTTGAACTCTTCGTTTTTCGAAATCATCCCTTCCTGTATTGCATGAAAAATTCACAAAGACGGAGTTGTTTGTTATTTCTTTTTAAAGGAAACTGCACCATGCTGAACCGACTAAGATACATTGAAAGTATTTAACTCTAAAAATCAGTTATTGAAATGAGATTTTTTTCTAATTTTTCCCCGTTTCATATTCTAGAAAGATTTCTCAAAACGGATGAAATGCATCAGCGCTCAGCCCATTAAACCATACGCATTTGGTTAAATACCCATTATTTCATATAGTATACTTGATCCAGCGTTTCGCTCGTTTTAAACGAGAACGTCACTCAGTCTCCAAAACGAATGACTGTTGTTATACATTACCTGAAATGTTCTGCCTTCAATACAGACACGTATATGATTCATCTCGTTCCCTTTCTGTTTCAAGGGAAAACAACCACAAACCGCATGTGAGGAAGTGATAAGTGACATCCGCCGGAAGTGTGATGGGCAGCTATTTGAAGTGGCCATAGTGGCGATTAATATGAAGGCAAGTCAACGAAACATTGATATTACGTCTTATTTTTCTGATACATTTGGTTGATTAGTATACAATGCACGTACATGAAATTACAGTAACGACGATAACATTAGTTTTAAGAAACTACAGCATGATAAAATACATTTATGTATAACGCGATTGTGAACAATCCTTTTTACCTTTTACAAAACATTTCATTTATATATTGATCTATGGGACTAATACCCTGTCCTTTTCACTACATGTAGTTGCTTAAAATAATTATTAATTTCTATACTAAAGCTGTGATTCGACTAATGTTTGTCACAATGACGCTTTGCCAATGATTATGTAACTTGATTTCAACAAGATTAAATCTTAAAATGACAAGAGGATGATCAAAACTTAATGTAATTGCCATTTGTGACTCTTTCAACTCCCCTGATTTTGAGAAGATCCGATATTTCATGTGACTCTTTCCGCAATTTTATTATTCATCCTTTTCCTCTGTTTCACTGTACAGCACGAGTATGGGGCGGCGTCGACACTGCAGACGTGGAGGGATCCACTAACTGGTCAGGACATCAAAGGATTTCCTTATGTGGTCTGCACTGACGGCATGTCGGAACCGGAAATAAGAATTTCTAAGACTAACTTAAAAGCTTCATGAAGACTCTTGTTACAAGAAATTGGATGAATGGATTTAACCAGATTGTTTTATATGGTTCTCGCATAAACATATCACAATTTCATTTTTTTTTGTTGCAATGAAATTATAAAATGGTTTTCTGTCTGTTGCATTTTTTATTGTTTTCCATTGTTCATTTTTACAATTTCATATCCTGACTGAAGTCTGAAAAATGAAGTTAATGAGAATATAATGGGAAAATAGAACAGAACAAAAAAATAACATAAAGACCGGTATACTTTTTTGGTGATGGTGGCTAGTATTTTGTTTATATGGCGAGATATTGGTTACGACTAAATCATACGAGTTGTTTCCCTTAGAATAACTAGCTGGTATCTTTCTCCACTGTATACATTGTGAAGACGAGAAGCCTTGTCCTAAGTTTCAGTGTACGTCGTTATCCTGTAGACACTCTTCAAATAAAAAGACTCACTGTTAAAAAAAACCCAGCATCTACTAAAACTTCAGCATAAAATTGATCTGATCAAAGTGAACCGATCGGTGCTACACTAGCAAAGATTGTTAACTGTGTGTATATTTACATGGTAAACTTCCGCTTGTATTTATATGTACTTTATCATTATGGAAGACAGTCATCAGTTTTAAAAATCTCAATAAACACAACCTGGAAGCATGAGACAAATTGTACGTCACTTCCGGTACCGCCGCTCCAGTACCATGCATCATAAATCACTTGTTTAAACTTAAGATATAATTTGACCTTTGGCATTAATTGCTAACATTGGCTATATCAATGCATACAAGCTGCCTCTGCCTTTTTATCACTAGCAGATTCACAACCATCTCCGAAGGAAACGCCTCAACTGAGTTCATGTAAACGAGTCTCATTCCAGATGTGGTTGAATACTAAAATGATATCATGTCCCATGAACTGTGCCGCTATTTCTGCCTTTTGACGCATTCTGCTCATAACAGGAGGACGTCCTGTCCTTTGTCATAATGCTATTCATTCCTCTGCCACATCACTTGTGATGTTATTTCAGCCTCTTGACATACTCCGTCGAACAGCAAGGCGTCCGGTTCTTTGTCATAATGTTATTCATTCCTATGCCACATCAATTGTGATGTTATTTCAGCCTCTTGACATACTCCGTCGAACAGCAAGGCGTCCGATTCTTTGTCATGATGCTATCTTTGACGTCAGTCAGCACTAGGTGTCGGGCATGTCTCTTCCAAAGTATTTTCTAAGATGACCGACCTTCTTTTGCACCACACGCCAGTTTTTAGTTGTCATTTTACTCACAATGTCACCGAATCTAGACGGTGCTGCCTTCACAGCTTATCTGCTGTCCACTCCCTCACTATTAAGATTTTCCCTTGTCCCTCTTTTCTTGTCATACTTGATGTCCCACTACATGATACCGAACTTGACTTTTGTGTCACTGTACATTCCTAGACATGTACTGGTTTCCAGTGGAAGGTTTACATGTAGTTTGATGATTGTGTTCTAAAACCCGGCACTGCTAATTGAACTCGGGACACCCAATCGTAGAGTTGACTGCTGATAATCCTCTCACAATACCTCAACGGCCATCAAAGGGACCTCCTGCAATTCTAAATAAACAACATCTCGTATATCACATCATATCAGAGAATTCTCTGAGAAATGCATTCACAAAAAAAAATAAAAAAAATATACCAAAGTTTAGGAAACATCTTAGTTTATAATGTATAAAACATCCTTCTAAAATGAATAGTGTGTTGCTAATATAGTTGATAAAATGTCATATGCAATAGAGATATCTTCTGAGATTAATATTCTGTGAAAAAGTTGAGTGTAACAATATACATGTCATGTGTATGTACATATCATTTGTTAGAGTAGGTGCAAGGGTAGATCTACTACGTTAGGTAAACATTGTACGGGTGTGGATACGAATGCTTCAATCCTGATATCACTTCAATAATAACAGTAATGAAAATGAAATGTGTTATGCACAATAAAAGAAAACAAAACAAAAAAGGAACATTTCGTACGAGTAGAGGCCATAAAAACACGGGTATTCCGTCTTTGCGTATTGCAAAGTTATCTGCTCTTGGGAGCAGGTATTGATTGTTACGTCATTTGTTTGTGAGAGTAAAGTCATCAATCTTTGAGAAAACGACGTAATTTTATCACACAAACCAATGACGTAACAATCAATACCTGCTCATAAGAGAAGATAACTCTGCAATACGCAAGGACGGAATAACAACTTAATCGACATGTCGATATGACTTCGTATTCCTTTGATGTCCACCACCTTCGTTCGTCCGCTACTCTGTCTGATTCTTCATCACGCGGTGCTGTTATTGCCATTCGCCTAGCTCTTCATACCATTGTTCTGCTTATTGAGCTCTCCGGCATTATAATAAAACACGTGCATTCCAAGCTCGTCAGAGATGTCGCAATGTGTTTCAGCAGCCGATTTCGGAATGAAAACAAATATAAACGTCACACGACAACGGTCTATCAATCACAGTGAACGAGACCAAACTAATTGCCGGATATCGTTGCATGGAATGATATGGACATGATCATGTCAATTCAATCCGATCTAACAATTAGAAATATCATATTTCCAGTTCTGCACAATTACAATTAGTGACAAACCTATGGCCGGACATACCTTGACTGGTAGAAACACACATTCGACATGAAGGAGGAAATACATTTCGGCGCCACGTGTGTATAAATCTGAAAATTCTGTCGGATGTAATAAATAAATAAATAATCAATTCACTAATTCAAAAACTATTTATTCAAATATTGTTTTTCTGTTTCCTAGATATATTTTAAAGAAATAGCTTTAGAAGGTATTTCATTTATAGGATGAAAGCAAACTTTCATTGAAAGGATTGGACCATATCCAAAACCGTCAATGTTGGAATGTAAACAACGTTTGGTTCATCATCAATTGCATTCATACAGACGTAAGTGTCATTCACAGTTGTAAAGGAAACACGTTGTACTTCATTAAATATCATTTTATCCCGGCAAAGATACTTTTCTAAATTTTTGATATCTAAAAGAAAGACCGCCTTTTTGTAAGGAAATAGTTTAGTTTCAGCTTAGTTGAAAAAGAATTTTATTCGTTATCAAGCATATTAATTACAACATACGTATGATTGTAGAATGATAGGAAACAAGTTTAGAGCTGATATTTATTCCTCTCCCAAAAACATTGGCCAGTGATCTTTCATTATAACACACTAACACCCTTCAAATACTTTAAGGAAAGAATAAAGAAAACAAGAAAGAATAAAGAAACCAAGAAAGAATAAAGAAACCATGAAAAAATAAAGAAACCAAGAAAATATACCAAAAGAACATTAACAAGACGAGACACTTTCCGTGTAACCTGTCCTATAGTTTTATAGTTAATTATGGCAATGTAATTAGACTTAAGATGTGCATGAGGAGGATCGTCTTTATTAGAATCAGTAGGAGTTACCGCCCCACTGTTTGACTTTATGAACATGTAGTAGAGGTCGCTTTTGCTATCAGTTTCCAAAAAGGTTTGCCAAGCCCACATCCAACATGTCGAATGTGGAACAGATGTGCCGACTGGCGAACTCGGTTCCTTAGATATCGAACACACGTGTCTCGGATTCCATGTACAGCTCGTAAACGTGAGTTGTCTACACACATAAGCTACTGTATGATTCCACATATCTGTAGACACAAACAATTCGGGAATCATTCAAGTGAGACCACGGCCGGGTAGGCTATATATAGAATATATCATTTCTGCGCTATAAAGCCTACATATATGATATGCACAATACTTATCACTACTGGTATAGTAATATATATATATATGTTATTGTAATACAAAAACATGCAATACAAAACGCCTGTGTACCTATCTAATTATGATGCACCAGACGGTATGTGTCGCTACGCATACAATCGATATAATGGTGTATGGTGTTACATAGCTAGTTTTAAAGTGCACTAGATTTTTTTTTACCACAATGTCAACACAGGGAGAAATTTATAACTAAAGGTTCAAAAACACAAACAGACAACAGCAAGAAATAGGAAGCTTTAAATATAAAAGAGACGGCAGAATGACATGTTATTTATAGCTCTAATGTTTTTGGGGTTTAAAACGGGTTTACAAATCTTTGAGCTTACCTAGCTGTATGTCGAGTGTGCAATATCAGAGAAAAACTTCTTCGATATTTTATTAAGTGAATATTAAAGATTGAGGAAGGTTAGATTTCCTACTTTTCCTGTAAAGTTGATATACTTCACTTATTTAATTTAGTGAAATAGAGATATTTCAACAAGACAATTATGACATCATATATATATCCCCCCAAATACGTTATTGCATTTAAAACGTAAATGTAGAATCTATAATCTTTCCAATGATAAACCATTTGCGTTGGAAATGAATCAAATAACTCTCCGTAATTGTTAATGTTGAAATGTAATAAGTTTTAAAAAGTAATATAATTGTGACGTCACAGAGACAATAACTATGCACTACTTATTTTAAAGAACAAGTGTTATACTTTCTATATATTGCAATTGGGTGAGTAATGAATAAACACACACCAGATATTGCAATTAAATGTGCCCCTACCCTTTAGAATATTTTCACCGCTTTTGTCTTACCTTCAGTGTGCGATGTTCCACAAAGTGCCCCGCTGCCTACTTTCTAACAACTGGCTATTCACTCACTCTATGACAGGCAGGCTTTTGGGAAGTTATGGTATACCTCCCCGGTAGACTACTCTCTAGCTCAATAGCTACATTATGATATTCTTTGTAATTGTGAACACCACACGAAGACCGTCCTAATTGTTTACAAATAGCAATAACGATAACATATACGGTTATTCACGATTTTGTAAATAAGCCATTCAGTTTCACTTTTAATAATGTGGAGTAACAATACTAAAACTATGGTAGATTTTTGTTGTACTTTTTTGTTAGACCTTTTATCTATTTTCAGAGAACGCATTCTACAAAAATAACGACCAGAATCATGCTTTTCCAAAACGTCAATGACAACGAGAAAGGGAGTATCAACTACTTTGAAGCGTTGTTGGATATCGGCAAGAAAAATGCGACAATTTCGAAGGAAAACTTTGTTCTAAATTTGATACTGCCGATATTGCCGGTAGCAGAATCTGTTAAAGAATCAGAAGAAATGTTGAAAGAAGAACAGTCATTTTTGTTTTATGGCAGAAAAATCAGTTGTGACATGCAGCTGCTAGTTGGAAGTAGCACCGATGGTCTGGCACTCCCGGAAATCACACACATCCACAGATCCAGATCATACAATGAAGTTCAAGACGAGGACATCCTTTATATGTTTCCTTTCCTCAAGATCGATCCTTATCATCGTCGCGCCTTTGCTAGACCTGTACCCATAAGTGGTCGCCATGGTTACGTCAGGTTGAAATTCAACTCAGACTGGTTGAATCAAAGAAAACTTTATTACGATCATTACTATATGATCAACCGCTCAAAAAGTAGTTTTGAAAACGGAACAGAGTTCGTAGATAGCGAAGGATTTGTCCTGCGAAGAAATCTTACAAGAAAATTGAGAAAAGAAATGAGATTAGAAATCCACGATAAAAACAACGAAGCAGAATTTATCCGAATCAATGAAGGGAGAAATGTCTCTGTGGAATATTCACACCACGGCCCAGCACTGACCGCCAATGTTTGTGAGGAAACTTACAATTTCCATCGTTCAAAGGACTATGTGATGGCGCTCCCTCATCCAAGCTGGCCTGTAGAGGCAGCGGAATGGCAATACAGAACTCGCACATGGCCTCCTGTTGCAGTGATTAATGCAGCCATGAAAGGTGGCTGTCATGTCGTCCCCAAATGTCACAAGAACAGTAAGGATCCACGTGAGTTTATTCTGTCCTTCGGTTTAGCATCAAGAACCGTTGCACATGCCTTGAGCATTTCACAATTCCGCTGCTACAAATTGTTCAAGTACTTATTTCGCTTTCACATCGATAAAGTCAAACGTGGTTTGTCAACGTTTCACTGCAAGCAGACTATGTTCTGGTTATGCGAAAAGTGTAACCAAGACGAATGGACGGAATATAATCCTTTTGAATGTGTACAAGAGCTTCTCCGCCAATTGGAAGCCTTCCTTAGATCTCACAATCTGCCAGATTACTTTATCCGCGAAAACAATACGATAGCTCATATCAGTGCTGCGTCCGTGATCGCCACGACGCGTGAAGTTACGAAGGTTCGCGAGAAATGTTTGACGATCATCTTGGGGTTGACCGAGACGAAACGGTTCCGTTGGCTGTCTAGAGATATATCCCTAGCGTCATTGCTGTCACCATGCCTATCTGCAGACAGGCTAACAAAGCAAACCATAGCTGTGACCCTTTTGGAGTATGTGTCCGAACTGCTTGACAAAAGTGAAATATCCATGGTTTTTTACCTACTGGGGATTGACATGCATCATGAAATGAGGATGGAACAATTCATTGAACTCGTAATTAAGCGACTGGAACAGGTTCTTATGCTTGGGCTCGACATGAATATCACATGCTGCGTATATGGCTTGTTAGCGTCACTGTACCATCAACAAGCCATTTCAGTTCAACACAAACCTGGAGTCGGTTACACTCTGATCGACAAAAGTCAACATTTATTTGATAAGATTCTTTCACACGTCGATAGACATATCTGGATTTATGGAGAGTATTACAATCTTTTGTCGACGACAAAACAACATCAATTGATTCTTGAACATTTTGCCGCTCAACTTCTTTCGCATACGTCGTCGAGAAAAGTGATGTTGTACCAGGGAGGTATTTACTCCTCCATATATTTCCACAATCGTCTCACCATGGACTTGTGTGTCCAGCAGGCCATCGTTGACTGTCGTGTACCGAGCACAGCTTTCTTGTTTTTCAAAATCATACACACATTGATCGTCCTAAACACGAATCAACCCGGTAGCCATCCGTCCTATCATGATACGGCAATGAAAGCCTTGAAGCGGTTTGATGTTTGGACCAAATCAAAAGCTCTACGGTTCCCTGAGCTATGTGATGAACACGTGCAAGTATTGCTGGCCTACAGTTACGATTGTGTCGGAAGTCCCGTTGGCGCGGACAGGTATTTCGAGAAGGCCGCCAGTTTTGGACTGGATTACAAAGACGAAGATGAATCTGACGACCTCTTGATCAGCACTCCCGTTATCATACGTCTACGCCGGATCGCTAAAGAACAGCGGACGATAGACAACAAACCTTATAGCAGGCCCGTCAAACAAAGAAAAGGTCGAAGTGCAAATACTTCATTGCGATTTGGGGAAGTACAGATCAACCCTTTCGTGCATGGCTAGGCTACCTGCGCATCAAAGAAGAGGCAATTATATAAACTGACCACAGTTCAATACTTATATTTACGTTTCCTCTGACTCTTATGTTCTTTTTTAACTTACTATTCATATTTAAAATTTAAAATTCCCGCCTTATCGAAAGTCCACACAAATTCGTTCAATGGTTGAAACAGCGTGTTGCCGCGTGCTGATTGGCAAACAAAGTAGTATTTGAAATTTTAACAAACAAAATTGCGTATGATATGTCGATAGGGTGATTTAAGTTTATCAATAGAACTCTGTGCTGAAAGATAGATTTGAAATTGTTTCAATTTTCCTCGGAACACATTTCGCGCTTGGATAAATACAGTGAACACCGTAAATCCGACCTTGCCCTCCACGAGGGAGTTATTTTTGGAAGTTAGATGAGCAAAGAGAAAAGTTCGAATTTGTGAAGAATCCAGACGTGAATTTATTTGCTGTTTCTATGGGAATCTGACAACAGTCGGTAGATTCTATAACATCCTCGTTATTTGACATGTCGTCAGAAACTGAGGAAACCGTGGCTGTGATACCCGTGAAACTGATTGCGTTTGAAGCGAGTAATCTTGCGACGGAGCACAGGGGTTCGTTACAAATGTCTGAAATGTTTATGTGTGCTGTGACTCATATCAGTAGGTCTGTTACATATGTGTCAGTTGGTCTATAGAAAATGTGTATTTCAGGCATTTGTAACGAACCCCTGTTGATCAGTGCAGTGTAACAGACGATATTTCTGATAAATTGCATGAGAGTTTTTTTTTTTTTTTTTTTATATTTTCTTTTTTCTTTTGCACATAAATTTACAATTACATTGTCAAGTCTCACAATGCCCAGCGATATTTCAACAGACGTCGTGTTTATTTACATAGGATATTGTAGTTCCGGTCAGTGTTGTATTAATACGCTAAGAATTGTGTCTCGTGCTGCATGGTAATTAAAGTCGCATCAACGACACCGCTTTCAAAGAGGCTATATAGTGACAATGTCATGCAAATGATAATATAACACTGTTAATACCTGTTTAAAGTTAGTGTACAAAGACGCTTTCATTGAGCTTGATGTTCTTAGAGAGAAATGTTTTTAATGTCAGTTTTTTTTTCTGGTTATTTATTTGGACCCACTGCCGATATTTAGGGACAGGCTACTTATATTTAGGTAACACCACGAAATAAAATCGATGGATTTGTTGACACCATTACTTCTGGTTATTTATTTGGACCCACTGTCGATATTTAGGGACAGGCTACTTATATTTAGGTAACACCACGAAATAAAATCGATGGATTTGTTGACACCATTACACTACGTGGGCTTTCTGTTGTGTCCTTTCTCTAACGTTTTGTTTCTTTGGCGTCCTTCAACCATTGCAGCCCGATAGTCTGTAGTTTCGCCAAAAAGGAGAGAAATAATCAAAATAATGTTCCTATAAGTAAAAAGTCAGATTCAGAATTCAATAAACCAAATGAAATAAACTCGATTGGACTTAGATCTAGGGTTCATGCAGCTAGTAATGGTTGGAAGAAATTTACTCTGCGGAACTATTCTGAAAAGAAAATAACTCATTTATTTATTTTCATTTCTGTTTTGTTGTTGTAAGCGATTAACTACATAAAGCATCATAATGTGTTGATCAGATAACTAAACAGTTGTTTCATGCCCTCTCAATCTGTTGGATTAGCCCAATGCAAGGTTTCCCGTTGCCGACAGTTTACTTTCAATATGCTGAACGGACCTCGTGAAATCGGCCACTTGTGCTTGTAATTCAAAATCGTGCTTTGTGGGTGTTACAAGGACAATGATTGGCTTATCTTATGAATTGCAAAAGGCAGCGTTTACATTACGGAAAACTACCCTAACGTATTCTCTAAACTGTAATAAGGACTCGCACAACTAAATCAACAAGTGTTTCATATGTTTGTAGTTCCTATCTAAAATCAGTTCCGGCTAATTACAGGGCCAATGAGGAAGTTTTATAAGGAACTGATGACAGATTTTTAGATAAATGAAATGTTCAGGTATTAAACTTTTTAAAAATGTATACTTTTGATATATTTACATGTCTTTGTGTTGATTTGCACAGGGGCAAAATGTCTGGGGGCGTTTTTGTTTTGGTCACCAGTTTTGCTTGTAAACTTCCGGTTGACAACTTCTTGGCGCTGTGACACTCCCATATGCCACTAAACGTACTAAAAAGTCATTTTGTAGCCTTTGCAAGGTATGTATTTATGAATCGAGACCGTTGTCACTGGTGTTGAACTTCAAATATTAGAGTTATTAGCTAAAATGTTTGGTAATTACATACAGTAAATGATTTAGTTTTGCGAATCCTTTAAAGATATCCATTTTAAAATCAGTTTTCGCTATTGTTCATGTTTGTGAAATATTTGCAGCTGCTGATCAATCTTAAAAAGAACATAAATGGTTAATTTTGGGTGTTGGATTGAGAAACAATGTCATTTCAACTTAAGACGCACTTGATGACACCTTAATATCTTAATTCACATCCTGATAGTCTGTTATCAAAAGAACCCGGACGTTTTATTATAACCTATCTGTATTGTCCCAGATCAATGTCATTCTATCGAATTCAACTGGAGTACATGCTATATTAGATTACGTAGTTAGGACCTGACGAAAAACACGCAAATTCTGTCGGTAATTTTCTATAGGCAATTTTTCAGACAAATTACGAGAGTCTTTTCGGTTAAATTTACTAAAACCATAAAACTGGCGTGCAGATGGGTACTTCATAAGATACGAATCATAGAACATGGAAAATTCCAATTAACCTGAACTATAGTGTACAGTAATGTGTGTTGGTTTGGTACGCAAAGTACTTTTTATCAGGCGTTTACAGAGGCTAATCTCAGCATGGTAACCATTTCAAAACGCACAGCTTACAACTCTCTGGTGTGCGAATTAAAATAAACCTTAGTGTTCTCATTTTTGAAAAAAACACCCATTTAGTGTCCTCTTTTTTATCTGTCTGCTTTTTCGTGATATTGTATAATCAGTCAAGGTGACATTTTATTAATGTTTAATACTAGTACAAAAGCTGCTTTAGTAGTAACTACCATGTAGTAAAGTGGGTTTTTGTTCAAATATTATTTTTTACTTACAGTGTATGTGTTCGACAAATTTAGCATGTCATTGCATATTTTGCTGTTTTAAAGTATAGAGCACATGTAAGGCTAGAGTGTTGATGATACAGCTAAACTGTCTGGACATCATGTTATCTATTGCACTTAAGTACTTTATTAAAATGTTTTGAAAACTTTTGTTTTTGTGACAGGAAAACTACACAATTAATCTAGCAATAAGGTTTTTGTTTTGCGATTTAGATAAGACATCGCATTGTCTCATGAAAAGTATGATAACATGTTTATGTAAAATGCAAATATAAACGATATCTATTACACCCTTTCAAAAATCGTCTAAAGTATAATTCAGTCTCACTTGGTACGTATCCATTTTGTCATATCTGTACTATGACAGACTTAATCTATGTTTTGGTAAGTTCGTTATCAGTACAGTAAACCTACCGGATTGTAATCAATAGCGTAAACAAACGCCGACATCTAGGTCCGTATTTCCGAGCACCTGACCTGTTTATCAGGGTTGTACCTTTTGACCTCAAATGTGTAAATAAGCGCCATATTCGTTTCGCTCAACCCTTTCAAGTCCCGTCCTTGATCAAATCGGATTCGGCAACTGTAGTTAGTACGGTTTGTTAACGTATAAGAATAATCCGCCAAGCACCGTCAGACACCGATGCTCAGCTATACTTGGTAATACTGATAAGAGTCAATAAACTAAGTCCTATTTAAGATTGTCAAGTGCAGTTTGTATATTTCAGTGATGCAATGTTTAAAATTGTGAAAAAAATCTGCAGAGATCGTATGCAGTTTTCTTTTATTTCATAACAGTGTCGAAAAATCGTATTACTGCCATAAATGTAGCTAAAAGATTGGGCACAAGTTACTCCAACATTATTAAGCCCTCTTCAAAAATTGTAACAAACAAATAAAATGACAAACAAAGAAGATGCACAAAACGTATTCAAGTTTGCTTTAAGGTTGTTCTTCGTTTTGTTTTGGATAGGTTAACGTTTACAAGGTTTACTACTTAGAAGCTATCGCTGGTTTTATATGAAATATCCATCCGCTTGACAAGTTAGGGGCATTCTCACCTCTGCCTTAAGTGGACGTCCTCCGACAAGATATAAGGCCTCTACATCCATTCTTTAATACTAAAATCTATGTGTAACGAAATGTCCATCAACTCGACAATAAACGTTCTTTTCTATATCATGATTGCCTTACTTTTCCTGTGCTGGCATATATATTGGTTTGAAGACTGTTGTATTCGCAAATCTAATTGCCATGTGCATGCTATATCCATATATCTATCGGCTTTAGAACTGCGTGTATTTGTCGTTTTATTTGCATGAGGACTGTTGTGATTACCTATATATTGGTATGGGAATTGCTGTATTGGCCTATCCATTGGTGTATGGAGGACTGCTGTATTGGCCTATTCATTGGTCCCCGGAGAACTGCCGTATTGGCCTATTCATTTGCCCCTTGAGGACTTATGTAACGGCCTATTCATTGGTCTATGGAGGACTGACTGTTGTATTTGCTTATTCATTTGCCCCTGGAATACTGCTATGTTGGCCCCTTCATTGGTCCACGGGGGACTACTGTATAGGCCTATTCTTGGTCCAAGGCGGACTGCAGTATTGTCGTATTCATTGGTCATACACAGACTGCTGTATTGACCTATTTATTAATCTCAATCGGCCTGCTGTATTGACTTTATCATTGGTCTTAGTCGGCCTGCTGTATTGACCTTATCATTGGTCTTAGTCGGCCTGCTGTACTGACTTCATCATTGGTCTCAGTCGGCCTGCTGTATTGACCTTATCATTGTTCTAAGTCGGCCTGCTGTATTGACTTAACATTGGTATCAGCCGGCCTGCTGTATTGACCTTATCATTGGTCTTATTTGGCCTGCTGTATTAACCTTATCATTGGTCTCAGTCGGCCTGCTGTAATGACCTTATCATTGGTCTTAGTCGGCCTGCTGTATTGACCTTATCATTGGTGATAGTCGGCCTGCTGTATTGACATATTTATTAGTCTCAATCAGACTACTGTAACAGCCCGTCATTGGTCCCAGGAGGACCGCGGTATTGGCCTTTTCATTTACCCTTGTGTGACTACTGTAATGATCTGCTCATTGGTCCCAGGAGGACCGCTATATTGGCCCTTTTATTTACCCCTGTGTGACTCCTGTAATGATCTGTTCTTTGGTCCCAGGAGGACCGCTGTATTGGCCTTTTCATTTACCCCTGTGTGACAACTGTAATGATCTGTTCATTGGCA